TCTGGTTTCCGGTTCCGTTTTTCTTAAACGGAACTAGGATCTGGATTCCTGTTCCAGAACTAGGGACTAGGAACAAGGAACCAGCTTCAGGCTCCCAAATTAAACGAGTTTGTAAGGTATTTTTTGACCTGTTTGTATAAGCTTTTCAATAAATTCAGTCTCGTATGAAAACAAAAGCATGCCAGTCAACAGACGGGGCCAGTTAGATCCCACAGGTGTGCCAACAGTCTGTTGGAAGATCTCCGTGACCACCAAACTCGACAAAGATGTTGTCAACCATAATCTCGACCATTTTCATGTTTTCGTCCTCCTTATGTTTGTTCTTTAATTTGTGTGTGTTTTAAAAATAGAAATACCCTTCAGTATATTTCACAACCATGTTTTTTTTTACCTTTCTTGGCGAATAAAACTTTTACACGAGAGAACGAATGCGTTCTTTCCTATTAGAATGGGGTATGGTTGTGTACAGGGTGGAAAACTGTTTTTATAGAAGAACTATTCTTAGAAGAGGATTGTTGAGGATTGGTCAAAATCTCTTTGGAGTTCTTTAAAGTCCACACACTATCATTTCCACTTCTTGTGTAAACAGTATCTCAATAAGACTGTAACCCAGTGACATCACAATCTAGCTAGTTTCCGAGGTACATCGTGGTATGTATTCAGACGCTTGTCCGACATAAGATCTCGTTGTTGATAAATATAAAGATATCTGGGTCGGCGATACTATCCCATATATTCTTACATACTCAATAATTCTATCTACCATCAACAGCACTTTCCCTTGTGATAGTGACGGGTGGAATTAACTGTATACAAATCTGAAAGGTATAATTTACAAATATCATGAAACTAGTGTTTTTGAAATGTAAAAATGAATTGCACTTTTAATAATTGGTCTTAACAATGAATTCTAGTATGTTAATAAAAAAATTTATGTCATGATTTTGTTGCAACCATGAACACACAGACATTACAGAATCCCGGATATTTTGTTCAGTCCACTTCTAAAAGTTACAATCCACCGAAATCCGGAAATGATCTACTGATTTGCCTTGCTTGTTGTTGTCATCCGGGAAATTTGACCAAGTCCACACTCTTCTCTTCGTCGTTTCTTGCACACTCCGTTTATTTCCTATTGCTGTAGACCAACAACGAATTTTTCTTCTGTGATGTCATCATGTCATGTGATATATGTTTGTTTGTATGTTAAGGGGGTATTGCTCTAATGAACGTGATGCTCGTTTTGAGAACACAATGCATCGTAGTTTGACACTTTGGGAACACTTGGCCTATCTCCCATGTTCCCTTCCCCCACCCATGTTAATATCATTTTTGATAATTTTATATAAGATTTTAATTTTATCAGGTAACTCACAATAAGTCTCACAGCAACATCTCCCAATTTATACACCTTCAGCTTTTCCGGTAAAAGTCCATTAGTGATAAATAAACAAAGAATCTTACATTTGAGTCTTCATTTGGTGAGAGAGATTCAGACACAAAACCAGCTCTACTGGGTCATATTTATTACACAAAACCAGCTATACTGGGTCATATTACACAAAACCAGCTCTACTGGGTCATATTTATTACACAAAACCAGCTATACTGGGTCATATTACACAAAACCAGCTATACTGGGTCATATTACACAAAACCAGCTATACTGGGTCATATTACACAAAACCAGCTATACTGGGTCATATTACACAAAACCAGCTATACTAGGTCATATTACACAAAACCAGCTATAATAGGTCATATTACACAAAACCAGCTATACTGGGTCATATTACACAAAACCAGCTATACTGGGTCATATTACACAAAACCAGCTCTACTGGGTCATATTACACAAAACCAGCTCTACTGGGTCATATTACACAAAACCAGCTCTACTGGGTCATATTACACAAAACCAGCTATACTGGGTCATATTACACAAAACCAGCTCTGCTGGGTCATATTACACATGTAATAACAAATCTATGTCAAGGGTATCATATGATAGATATATATTTAAAATACAACACTAGTATGTTATAGCTGATATAATGCTGATAACAGGGTAGTTATGTAATGGTGTTATTACACAAAACCAGCTTAGGTCATATTACACAAAACACTGATAAGGGGTAGTTATGTACACAAGTGTTATTGCACTGATAACAGGGTAGTTATGTAATGGGTGTTATTACACAAAACCAGCTATGTAATGGGTCATATTACACATAACCAGTGTAGTTATGTAATGGATGTTATTACACAAAACCACTACTGGGTAGTTATTACACAAAACCAGTTATTGCACTGATAACAGGGTAGTTATGTAATGGGTGCTATTACACTGAAAACAGGGTAGTTATGTAATGGGTGTTATTACACAAAACAGGGTAGTTATGTTACTGGGTTATTACACTGATAACAGGGTAGTTATGAAATGGATGTTATTACACTGATAACAGGGTAGTTATGTAATGGGTGTTATTATGCTGTTAACAGGGAAGTTATGTTATGGGTGTTATTACGCTGATAACAGGGTAGTTATGTAATGGGTGTTATTATGCTGTTAACAGGGAAGTTATGTTATGGGTGTTATTACACTGATAACAGGGTAGTAATGTTATGGGTGTTATTACACTGATAACAGGGTAGTAATGTTATGGGTGTTATAACACTTATAACAGGGTAGTTATGAAATGGATGTTATTACACTGATAACAGGGTAGTTATGAAATGGATGTTATTACACTGATAACAGGGTAGTTATGAAATGGATGTTATTACACTGATAACAGGGTAGTTATGTAATGGGTGTTATTATGCTGTTAACAGGGAAGTTATGTTATGGGTGTTATTACACAGATAACAGGGTAGTTATGTTATGGGTGTTATTACACTGATAACAGGGTAGTTATGTAATGGGTGTTATTACACTGATAACAGGGTAGTAATGTTATGGGTGTTATTACACTGATAACAGGGTAGTTATGTTATGGGTGTTATAACACTTATAACAGGGTAGTTATGTAATGGGTGTTATAACACTGATAACAGGGTAGTAATGTTATGGGTGTTATTTCACTGATAACAGGGTAGTTATGTTATGGGTGTTATAACACTGATAACAGGGTAGTTATGTAATGGGTGTTATAACACTGATAACAGGGTAGTTATGTAATGGGTGTTATAACACTGATAACAGGGTAGTTATGTAATGGGTGTTAAAGGGGTAGTTATGTAACAAGTGTTATTGCACTGATAACAGGGTAGTTATGTAATGGGTGTTATTACACTGATAACAGGGTAGTTATGTTATGGGTGTTATTACACTGATAACAGGGTAGTTATATAATGGGTGTTATTATGCTGATAACAGGGAAGTTATGTTATGGGTGTTATTACATTGATAACAGGGTAGTAATGTAATGGTTTTTATCACGCTGATAACAGGGTAGTTATGTAATGGGTGTTATTACACTGATAACAGGGTAGTTATGTAATGGGTGTTATAACACTGATAACAGGGTAGTTATGTAATGGGTGTTATAACACTGATAACAGGGTAGTTATGTAATGGGTGTTATTACACTGATAACAGGGTAGTTATGTAACAAGTGTTATTGCACTGATAACAGGGTAGTTATGTAATGGGTGTTATTACACTGATAACAGGGTAGTTATGTTATGGGTGTTATTACACTGATAACAGGGTAGTTATGAAATGGGTGTTATTACACTGATAACAGGGTAGTTATGTAATGGGTGTTATTATGCTGATAACAGGGAAGTTATGTTATGGGTGTTATTACATTGATAACAGGGTAGTAATGTAATGGTTTTTATCACGCTGATAACAGGGTAGTTATGTAATGGGTGTTATAACACTGATAACAGGGTAGTTATGTAATGGGTGTTATTACACTGATAACAGGGTAGTTATGTAACAAGTGTTATTGCACTGATAACAGGGTAGTTATGTAATGGGTGTTATTACACTGATAACAGGGTAGTTATGTTATGGGTGTTATTACACTGATAACAGGGTAGTTATGAAATGGGTGTTATTACACTGATAACAGGGTAGTTATGTAATGGGTGTTATTATGCTGATAACAGGGAAGTTATGTTATGGGTGTTATTACATTGATAACAGGGTAGTAATGTAATGGTTTTTATCACGCTGATAACAGGGTAGTTATGTAATGGGTGTTATTACACAGATAACAGGGTAGTAATGTAATGGTTTTTATCACGCTGATAACAGGGTAGTTATGTAATGGGTGTTATAACACTGATAACAGGGTAGTTATGTAATGGGTGTTACACTGATAACAGGGTAGTTATGTAATGGGTGTTATTACACTGATAACAGGGTAGTTATGTTATGGGTGTTATTACACTGATAACAGGGTAGTTATGAAATGGGTGTTATTACACTGATAACAGGGTAGTTATGTAATGGGTGTTATTATGCTGATAACAGGGAAGTTATGTTATGGGTGTTATTACATTGATAACAGGGTAGTAATGTAATGGTTTTTATCACGCTGATAACAGGGTAGTTATGTAATGGGTGTTATTACACAGATAACAGGGTAGTTATGTAATGAGTGTTACCACACTGATAACAGGGTAGTTATGTGATGGGTGTTATAACACTTAAAACAGGGAAGTTTTGTAATGGTTGTTATAACACTGATAACAGGGTAGTTATGTGATGGATGTTATAACACTGATAACAGGGCAGTTTTGCAGGAAAATCATTTATGCTATGAGCATTACTAGGCAGCTCATTAAAACTAGTCAAACTCTCATTGTCAGAAATAAAGTAGACCCTCCTTCCTGAAATTAGAATAGAATGAGGGGATCAGTGTCAGTTAACAGCCCTTGCCACCTGTATATGGTTATCTATGATTTTATAATAAAATATTTTGCATAAAATTTCACAGAGTATCAAATGATGTATGTGTATGATTGAATATCTTTTGTATTTGTAGGTCAATCTTGTCCTCGCTCCACTTTCCCACCCCACATTGTGACTACTGCAGCACCTCCTGTCAGTTTGCAAACGCCAGCACCGCAGGTTGAATTCATCAGACTCCCCAAAACGATTGCGCCAGTGGAGTATGACCTTGAGATGACTCCTCACATGTACGGCCCAAATCCGGATCAATTTACATTTGAAGGAAAAGTGAATATTGAAATTAAATGTAAAACGGCCACAAACAAAATCATCATACATTCTAAAGAACTTGTAATCGACAAAACAGAGATAAAACCTAAGGTGGCTCCTGAAGATATCAAAATTGATAGTATGAGCGAAGACACAACACAGCAACTGTTGACGTTTACGTTAAATAAAAACATGATTCGTAATGGTACATATCATCTGTCGATCACATTCACCGGACCTCTGAAGAAGGACTTAAAGGGACTGTACCTCAGCTCATATGAAGAAGGTGGTGAAACCAGGTACGTTATATACAGAAGGCCAATAGATATATAACATCTAGTTGTTAATTATGTATAGATATTCATGGGGAGTAATTTTGTTGTATTGACAAATATCAACGACAGCACAAGCTTAAATACCCAACAAATATGTTTACAGTAAATCAAAATCACACTAAAAGTGAAAGACATGTTAGGATTAGAACTTGATGCTAATTTTATTGAACAGCAATAGAATGGGTGGGCTTATAACAGGACAAAGGATTAGAACTTGATGCTAAAATTATTGAACAGCAATAGAATGGATGGGCTTATTACAGGACAAAGGATTAGATTTTGATGCTAAAATGATTGAACAGCAATAGAATGGGTTTTTTTTTTAGGTATTACAGGATGAAAATCTGGTTCTGTTTGTTATTTTACTGAACAGTTTTAGATATCGGTGGGCTTATTATAGGACAAAAGAAGAGTGCTTAAAATAAATTGTACTAAACAAATTCTAGAAGTACTGGTCTGAAGAATAATTCTGCTGCAACCCCATGTAAAGCATAAATCAATATATCTTTTCTAGGGAAAATAAGCATATTTTTTATCCTGAATAAACTTAATCTGATGAATATACTTATGTCATTGAACCAGCTTCAGTTTGGAAAACAGGTTTATAATTTGATATTTATTTGTTAAACACTATTTGACAATATAATTGTTATTTATTATTTTTTGAAAATGTATCCTTGAATCAGGTACCTAGCAACAACACAGTTTCAGCCGACGGATGCCAGAAAGGCATTTCCTTGTTTTGATGAACCAGGCTTCAAGGCAGTCTTCAAGATTACAGTACTGCGACAGACCGGCTGGCATTCTCTGTCCAATTCACCGATTGCTTCATCTGAAGAAAAGTAATACACATACTTCAACATATTTTAATGTTATTGTCCAGACTCGGAAAGCAACATGGAAGTGTAGATGTGTGACCGTAAGAATGGTGTTAACAGAGAGAAATATCACCTCGGACCTTCTCATTCTATAACCATATAAATAATACAATGTATTACTTCATTGGATTGAGCAGGATTTGTCGTTAGTGAAGCAAAAGACACTTGTAACCCTTTTGGAAGATTCAGGTCTTATACTTTTTAAAAGTCTGTGTGTAAATCTTTGTTTTGTTGTGGGGTGGGGGTGGGGGGGGGGGGAGGAGGGGGTATTACCTGGGTTTCCTCCAGGTACTCTGGTTCCCTCCCACATGCTTTCATTCAGACCAACAAGAGTGATTAAAATAAATTTGCAATTGTTTTGAAATAAATAAAGTTTATATTCATAATGGTACAAATATCTGTTTAATTTAAACTAAGAATTAACTTATTGAAACACAATGCTAGCAGTCCTAGATGTGACCTATATTTAAGGAACCAGTGCGTACATTGATATGTTTTCATGTTTAAGGAACGGAATGGTAGCAGATAGTTTCAAGCCAACCCTACCAATGTCCACATACCTTGTGGCGTTTGTTGTGTCCCAATTTGGAAACTCGAGTGGGTTAACACGAAACAACATCAAAGTGGGTATCCATGCTCTTTCCTCTTGTTTCTTTCTGAGAACATTTTTATTTGTGTTCTCTCCATTTTATATTGGGAGGGGGTGCATACCATGTAAAACTCATAATTGTTCTTCACTTCCTATGCTGTTGTGTAGTTCATCAATCTCATATCTTGAGGTCCTTTCAACAGATTCTAGTTCATATTTACCCTATAGTATCATAACATCAAGTTCTACATCTGATCAGATTCTGGTTCACACTTACCCTATAGTATCATAACATCAAGTTCTACATCTGATCAGATTCTGGTTTACACTTACCCTATAGTATCTTAACATCAAGTTCTACATCTGATCAGATTCTGGTTCACACTTACCCTATAGTATCGTAACATCAAGTTCTACATCTGATCAGATTCTGGTTCACACTTACCCTATAGTATCATAACATCAAGTTCTACACCTGATCAGATTCTGGTTCACAACCCTATAGTATCATAATATCATGTTCTACATCTGATCAGATTTTGGTTCACACTTACCCTATAGTATCATAACATCATGTTCTACATCTGATCAGATTCTAGTTCACACTTACCCTATAGTATATAACATCATGTTCTACACCTGATCAGATTTTGGTTCACACTTACCCTATAGTATCATAACATCATGTTCTACATCTGATCAGATTCTGGTTCATATCTACCCAACAGAACAATAACATTACATTCTACACCTGATCAGATTTTGGTTCACACTTACCCTATAGTATCATAACATCATGTTCTACATCTGATCAGATTCTAGTTCACACTTACCCTATAGTATATAACATCATGTTCTACACCTGATCAGATTCTGGTTCACACTTACCCTATAGTATCGTAACATCAAGTTCTACATCTGATCAGATTCTGGTTCACACTTACCCTATAGTATCATAACATCAAGTTCTACACCTGATCAGATTCTGGTTCACAACCCTATAGTATCATAATATCATGTTCTACATCTGATCAGATTTTGGTTCACATTTACCCTATAGTATCATAACATCATGTTCTACATCTGATCAGATTCTAGTTCACACTTACCCTATAGTATATAACATCATGTTCTACACCTGATCAGATTTTGGTTCACACTTACCCTATAGTATCATAACATCATGTTCTACATCTGATCAGATTCTGGTTCATATCTACCCAACAGAACAATAACATTACATTCTACACCTGATCAGATTTTGGTTCACACTTACCCTATAGTATCATAACATCATGTTCTACATCTGATCAGATTCTAGTTCACACTTACCCTATAGTATATAACATCATGTTCTACACCTGATCAGATTCTGGTTCACACTTACCCTATAGTATCGTAACATCAAGTTCTACATCTGATCAGATTCTGGTTCACACTTACCCTATAGTATCATAACATCAAGTTCTACACCTGATCAGATTCTGGTTCACAACCCTATAGTATCATAATATCATGTTCTACATCTGATCAGATTTTGGTTCACACTTACCCTATAGTATCATAACATCATGTTCTACATCTGATCAGATTCTAGTTCACACTTACCCTATAGTATATAACATCATGTTCTACACCTGATCAGATTTTGGTTCACACTTACCCTATAGTATCATAACATCATGTTCTACATCTGATCAGATTCTGGTTCATATCTACCCAACAGAACCATAACATTACATTCTACACCTGATCAGATTTTGGTTCACACTTACCCTATAGTATCATAACATCATGTTCTACATCTGATCAGATTCTAGTTCACACTTACCCTATAGTATATAACATCATGTTCTACACCTGATCAGATTCTGGTTCACACTTACCCTATAGTATCGTAACATCAAGTTCTACATCTGATCAGATTCTGGTTCACACTTACCCTATAGTATCATAACATCAAGTTCTACACCTGATCAGATTCTGGTTCACAACCCTATAGTATCATAATATCATGTTCTACATCTGATCAGATTTTGGTTCACACTTACCCTATAGTATCATAACATCATGTTCTACATCTGATCAGATTCTGGTTCACACTTACCCTATAGTATATAACATCATGTTCTACACCTGATCAGATTTTGGTTCACACTTACCCTATAGTATCATAACATCATGTTCTACATCTGATCAGATTCTGGTTCATATCTACCCAACAGAACCATAACATTACATTCTACACCTGATCAGATTTTGGTTCACACTTACCCTATAGTATCATAACATCATGTTCTACATCTGATCAGATTCTAGTTCACACTTACCCTATAGTATCGTAACATCAAGTTCTACATCTGATCAGATTCTGGTTCACACTTACCCCATAGTATCATTACATCATGTTCTACATCTGATCAGATTCTGGTTCACACTTACCCTTTAGTATCATAACATCAAGTTCTACACTTGATCAGATTCTGGTTCACAACCCTATAGTATCATAATATCATGTTCTACATCTGATCAGATTTTGGTTCACACTTACCCTATAGTATCATAACATCAAGTTCTACATCTGATCAGATTCTGGTTCATATCTACCCAACAGAACCATAACATCACATTCTACACCTGATCAGATTTTGGTTCACACTTACCCTATAGTATCATAACATCATGTTCTACACCTGATCAGATTCTGGTTCACACTTACCCTATAGTATCATAACATCATGTTCTACATCTGATCAGATTCTAGTTCACACTTACCCTATAGTATATAACATCATGTTCTACACCTGATCAGATTTTGGTTCACACTTACCCTATAGTATCATAACATCATGTTCTACACCTGATCAGATTCTGGTTCACACTTACCCTATAGTATCATAACATCATGTTCTACATCTGATCAGATTCTGGTTCACACTTACCCTATAGTATATAACATCATGTTCTACACCTGATCAGATTTTGGTTCACACTTACCCTATAGTATCATAACATCATGTTCTACACCTGATCAGATTCTGGTTCACACTTACCCTATAGTATCATAACATCATGTTCTACACCTGATCAGATTCTGGTTCACACTTACCCTATAGTATCATAACATCATGTTCTACATCTGATCAGATTCTAGTTCACACTTACCCTATAGTATATAACATCATGTTCTACACCTGATCAGATTTTGGTTCACACTTACCCTATAGTATCATAACATCATGTTCTACACCTGATCAGATTCTGGTTCACACTTACCCTATAGTATCATAACATCATGTTCTACATCTGATCAGATTCTGGTTCACACTTACCCTATAGTATATAACATCATGTTCTACACCTGATCAGATTTTGGTTCACACTTACCCTATAGTATCATAACATCATGTTCTACACCTGATCAGATTCTGGTTCACACTTACCCTATAGTATCATAACATCAAGTTCTACACCTGATCAGATTCTGGTTCACACTTACCCTATAGTATCATAACATCATGTTTTACACCTGATCAGATTCTGGTTCACACTTACTCTATAGTATCGTAAAATCAAATTTTACACCCGATCAGTCTTTGTCTGCCTCGGGAAAATTAATATTTTACTAAGATTTTCTGGATTTCTTGTTGATGTATAAATGAGTTATCCAATTTGAGACAAAAAAAATACTAATTTTCTCCATTAATTGTGATTTCACCAACCGATTCACCTGCTTTATTTTTTATTTTTCAGTACGGTGCCTGGGCTAAACCTGAATCTGTACCCTACACAAAGGAGGCACTACAGCTGGGAATTAACATTATCACATACTACGAGGAGCTGTTTGAAATACCATTCCCTCTTGAGAAACAGGGTAGGTTGCTAATTTATTCTCGATGTGGAAAATATTCCAGAAAAATATGATAGCTGATTACAGCTGATTACATATTGTAGAAAATCACATTTGTTCCTTTAAAGTCTGTAATTCTCAGATGTCTACTGTGTTGTAAGTATGGAGAAGTTACAGGTGTGACCGCCATCCTTGGCTACCCCTTGTGTACCTTGTATATAAATTACCCATAATGCTGTGTTGTGTCTATAATTACAGATATGACGGCCATCCCTGACTACTCCTTGTGTACCTTGTATATAAATTACCCATAATGCTGTGTTGTACCCATAATGCACCTTGATGTGTCTATAACTACAGATTTGATTTGCCATCCATGACTAACCCTTGGGACATATGGTGAACCATAGACTTGTCACCTTGTATGTAAATTACCCATAATGCTGTGTTGTACCCATAATGCACCTTGATGTGTCTATAATTACAGATTTGATTTGCCATCCATAACTAACCCCCGCGACATATGGTGAACCATCAACTTGTCACCTTGTATATAAATTACCCATAATACTGTGTTGTACCCATAATGCACCTTGATGTGTCTTTCATTACAGATATGATTTGCCATCCCTAACTAACCCCTGGGGATGTATGGTGAACCATTGACTTGTCACCTTAGATTACACATAATGCACCTTGATGTGTCTTTCATTACAGATATGATTTGCCATCCCTAACTAACCCCTGGGGACGTATGGTGAACCATTGACTTGTCACCTTAGATTACACATAATGCATGTTGTTGTGTCTTTCATTACAGATATGATTGCCATCCCTGACTACCCTCTAGGAGGTATGGAAAACTGGGGACTTGTCACCTATCGTGAGGAAGCCATGTTGTTTAATCCCAAAACAAACTCGGAATACTCCAAACAAAGGGTGACTAAGGTCATCGCACATGAACTCTCACACCAGGTCAGTTCTTCAATGACAGAATTTAAATTTTTTGTTGTGTTTTTTTTATACTGGTTTGGGATGGGACATTTTTGCCCCATATTGGAAGCAAAATCAATTAATTAGGAAGGAAATTTTCAGTAATAATTGCAAATTTTGAAAAAATGGCTTAAATACGAAATAATTTTATACAGGAATGAGGCCTGTAATTGCCCCCCCATCTTCCCTTCCTCTCCCCAACAAAAAAGTCCTGGAATTTCTGTCCAGTGGATTACAAGATAAATATCCTACAATAAGCCCACCAATCAGCAGATTTTGTAAAAACATTCCTGATGTGTCCAAAACCCTTTTTCCAAACTTTTTATGAGTCCTATTGTTTAGACATGTAGTTGGTTAATTTTTTTGAAGGGCTCAATTGTTCTTTTTAAAAAAGGTCCTTTTCAATATAATTTCATGGATAAGCATTACTCCTTATATCTACTCTAGTTTTAACAATTTGTGAAGGTATTAAGTCGTGATTAAGACTATCAACAAAATTAAAGAAATAATTCTCCTACAAAAATTAATGATTTTAGAGTACCTCAAATCAACTGAAAAAACATTCTTAATTTGGTAAATATGGAAACAGTGAACTTGTTTTAGAAACAAAATAAGTACATTTTAATGTTTTCAAATTCATTGAAACTGGAAAATTCAGAATGGTATGTTGCCTATGGTTTAAACATAGGACCTAAACTGTCCTTTGACATTGATATTTAACCTTTCACCTTCACTAACCTTTGACATTGAAATTTAACCTTTCACCTTCACTAATCTTTGACATTGAAATTTAACCTTTCACCTGCACTAACCTTTGACATTGAAATTTAACCTTTCACCTGCACTAACCTTTGACATTGAAACTTATCTTTTAACCATAAGTGGTTTGGTGACCTTGTGACCATGCAATGGTGGGATGACCTTTGGCTTAATGAAGGTTTCGCGACCTATATGGAGTATGTAGGTACAAATTTCTCGCACCCAGACTGGAACATCGTAAGTATTAATTAACATTGTTAACAATTTTGTAACAGGTTAATGAACCATCACACTAATGATTCAAGTAGATAGCACCTTATTACCGATTTAGAATTAAAAACAAGATGTGCTAAATAATGTATTAAAATATTCACTGCAATAGCTTCAATCTTCTCTACTGAATTACTGTAGCTTTGAAAAGGAGCCTCAGTATGGCTTGTACATAATGTTAAATATTGTCCCAACATCGGATGGCAATGTGAAAGAACAGGAATCCGGTATCAAACTCGGATCTCCAGCATGATAATTGACGAGCTCACCTGAGTGAGCCAAGGACACATGCTCTGTCAGCTGAGTGACAGAGACAGTATTTAACATTTTGTACAAACCACACCAACCCACTCTTTACACATAGACAAAAAGTGTGAAAATCCATGGCGAGTTACTGAACTGAAATTTGAAAACTGAGTATGAAGTTTTATATGCCTCAGCCTTATTTAATTGTTTGATGTATTAGTTACTTATCACACATCAGTCATTTTTTTTTTTTTTCGCTGTGTACAACAGTTTGACCAGTTCGCAGTCGGGGACCTCTATGATGCATTTGACTTCGATGGACATCGTACCTCTCATCCTATCTACGTTCCTGTCAGCACCCCAGTTCAAATCGGTGAAATATTCGACCGCATATCATACTCAAAGGTTTGTTAGGCTCTGTCGTATGAATACAAATTTACTGTACTCTCAATATTTCAGTCTTAAGTTAAAATTGTCCATTATTTTTCCTGAAGCTGTATTAACATAGAAATTGAAAAAATCGAAGCATAACTATTATAACTTTATAGAACAAATTCAAATACAGAAGATCTGTGTTTCATTGTGATATGTGTATTGATGAATTGATATAAGAATTTTTACTAAGTGAGCTCATTATAATGAAAAATTTCTTAACAAGTTTTGTAGATCATGGAACGAAGGGAGACAACTATTGGTTACTTAATCATTTCTTCCCAAGTTTAAATCATTTTGGCTCTTTATCTAATAGTTAATTGCTATGTCACGGGGCAATTTTTGAAAGTTTTAGATAATTTTTTTTATCTTAAGTGACATCACTATAAGATATATATCTATCAAAATTGTGTAATACGCAAAAACAATAAAAACGTGACATAGATATATTCACTGATGAACAAAGTCAACATGTCATAAAAGAGGACAAGATTGATGTTGTTTTTGATTTGTCAAAAATTTTAACAGAAAAGATCAGTTTCCATCCTGGATCATTGTGAACCTACAGCGATATGTTATTTTAAAATAAATATATTTTGACTTGTGTATTTTATTTTTTTTTAGGGTGGTTCTGTAATACGTATGATGAGGCATTTTCTAGGAGGAGACACATTTGATACTGCACTCACGGTAAGTATTATACTGCAATCATGGTATTATACTGTCTCATCATGGTAATTATTATAATGTCTCATGGTAAATATTACATTGTCTCATTGTAAATATTACATTATCTCATTGTAAATATTACATTGTCTCATTGTAAATATTACATTGTCTCATTGTAAATATTACATTATCTCATTGTAAATATTACATTATCTCATTGTAAATATTACATTGTCTCATTGTAAATATTACATTGTCTCATTGTAAATATTACATTATCTCATTGTAAATATTACATTATCTCATTGTAAATATTACATTGTCTCATTGTAAATATTACATTATCTCATTGTAAATATTACATTGTCTCATTGTAAATATTAAATTGTCTCATTGTAAATATTACATTATCTCATTGTAAATATTACATTGTCTCATTGTAAATATTACATTATCTCATTGTAAATATTACATTGTCTCATTGTAAATATTACATTATCTCATTGTAAATATTACATTGTCTCATTATAAATATTACATTGTCTCATTGTAAATATTAAATTATCTCATTGTAAATATTACATTATCTCATTGTAAATATTACATTGTCTCATTGTAAATATTAAATTGTCTCATTGTAAATATTACATTGTCTCATTGTAAATATTACATTGTCTCATTGTAAATATTACATTGTCTCATTGTAAATATTACATTATCTCATTGTAAATATTACATTGTCTCATTGTAAATATTACATTATCTCATTGTAAATATTACATTGTCTCATTGTAAATATTACATTGTCTCATTGTAAATATTACATTGTCTCATTGTAAATATTACATTGTCTCATTGTAAATATTAAATTATCTCATTGTAAATATTAAATTGTCTCATTGTAAATATTACATTGTCTCATTGTAAATATTACATTGTCTCATTGTAAATATTACATTGTCTCATTGTAAATATTAAATTATCTCATTGTAAATATTACATTGTCTCATTGTAAATATTAAATTATCTCATTGTAAATATTACATTATCTCATTGTAAATATTACATTGTCTCATTGTAAATATTACATTGTCTCATTGTAAATATTACATTATCTCATTGTAAATATTACATTGTCTCATTGTAAATATTACATTATCTCATTGTAAATATTACATTATCTCATTGTAAATATTACATTGTCTCATTGTAAATATTACATTGTCTCATTGTAAATATTACATTATCTCATTGTAAATATTACATTGTCTCATTGTAAATATTACATTGTCTCATTGTAAATATTACATTGTCTCATTGTAAATATTACATTATCTCATTGTAAATATTACATTGTCTCATTGTAAATATTACATTATCTCATTGTAAATATTACATTATCTCATTGTAAATATTACATTATCTCATTGTAAATATTACATTGTCTCATTGTAAATATTACATTGTCTCATTGTAAATATTATACTTTCTCAGAATTCTCTTCCTTAATTTGGGATAAAGCAATTTTAGCTGAACAAAACCAGTTGAGAGATACTGATCCTTTGGGCTTTTTGTTGATTTAGCTGTGTTTACTTAATTGATATTGCTTTGTTTAAATTGTAGACATATCTTAAAGATTTGAAATACGGTGTGGCAGAACATAATATCCTGTTTGACAAAATGAACAAGGTAAGAGTCATGTCACTAATGTCTGTATAACTATGTTCATAATGTATGGGATTATTTCATTTCGATAGAAATTAACGTGATGTGTGATTGTGTACCATATTTTTTTTATAAACATAACTTCAATCACATTTAAGCCACTATGTACTTTTGCTATGCTGAGCAACTCATAATATGGTATACCCTTGCTTGGTCTGTCCATCCGTCATCTTTTCTGTGTTAGCGGTCTTACATTCATTTATAGACTAATGGCTTAAACGAGTTTACGTTAAAGAAATTTGCAATTATTTCTTGCAGAGTTATGTCCCTTTTAATGGCAAACATAGGCATTGTTTAAAAAAAAGGCAGGGATTTTTAATTCTTTGTCCAATTCCTTTCAAATTTGATATAGTGGTACAAGAAGCAATGGGATATGACTTATATTACAGGTTTCTATGTTACCCATATTTTCAGAGTTATGCCCCTTTTATCAATTTCATAATGTTGGCCTTCAATCAATTTCTTTAAAGATTAGTGGGCTTAATTGACCTGACATGAACTTGTGTTTTCCTGAACTTTGGTTTGATTTGATTGTATTTAGAAGAGTTACTGCCCCTTATTGTTTTCATAATATTACTATTTCTGGAGATCTTCTCTTTCAATTTTCAACCAAAGTTTTGAAAATTGGTAAGCATTAACACCATTACTTGAAAGTTTTCTTAATAGCAATGTGATTTTACAATTTTGGGAAGAGTGATTGCCCTTTTTTGTACATTTTTATTAAGATATTTCCTCATTCAGTTTTTAACCAAATTTTCTTTGAAATTGAACCACAATAGGATTGTGCTCATGTAAACAGCATTTTGATTTGATTTCAAAAAGTTATTCCCACCCATTACTTTATCATTAAGATGTGTAGTACAATTTTCCCTCTGGACATTTTGACTCATAACCATTTCCTTATTGGTAGCCTTTCCTATACAATGAATCATAGTTCTTTTGAATGAGCGTATTTTACCCACACCCTGAAGTACTCATGTTTGTGAATTTATTATTTGAAACGGAAAAAAATCATCATTTGTATGAACTTCTTTGGAGGATATTCATAAGAATTTTACCAACTGTACTGTTGACAGAAAAATGAAATGATAATTAAAAATATAGTAATCATATTGTTTTTAAAACAATAAACTAATTTTGGATGCTTTTAAAATAGCAATTTGAAAGATTGCGGCATTATTTACGTAGAAAATTGCCGCTAGAGGGCTCTAACTCTTTTCGATATTTCAGCCAATGAGAAGGCCAGGATCGGTAAATTTTGTCTGAGAGGCCGTCGCAATAGGCTATGCGTACCGAGTACGTTTAGCCTAAAAATCAAAGTAAACATTTCCGAACACTTGCTGATTAGAGTGCAGTCTATTGATTTGGTTATTTTTCAGCAAGCAAAAAAGGATGGTAAAACTCTACCATTTACCGTTAAAGAAGTGATGGACACATGGATTCTACAAATGAATTATCCTATTGTTACGGTGACAAGATCTGGAGACGGGAAACTAAAATTGGAGCAGAAACGATTCTTGATGGACAAAAATTCAACTGTGCCTGATAAATACAACTCAACATTCGGGTAGGTAATTTATAGATCATGATATTGCCTTGTCTTCCTCTATGTCATAGATGTACTTACTGGCACACAAATAATCTTAATAGTAATCCATTCTTTGATAAAGAGCCATGGTGTGGCATTTCTTGTATGTCTGTCTGGTGTCAACTTATAAAGTCTTCTTCTAAATAACCAAAAAGCCAAGAACCATGATGTTGGGCTGAAAATTTTCTGAAATGAAACCCTTTCAATTTTGAGTAACGACATGGCTTTATGTTACCATGTTGGTATTTTCTTGGTGTTTTTTGATATTCAAAGTCTTAGGGATCAAAATTGTTAAAACTTTCAAACGATGAAGCAAAATGTTCAGAATCATCAGATTTGGTTGAAGGTTCTTGTGGTAAAGCCTATCAAGGTTTATGAATGGAAATGACCTTGAACAATACTCAAGGTCACATGGGTCATATTTATTGAAATCTTCAAATGACTTCTTATGAACTAGGATTTAGAATGTGAAATGTTGATGTATATGTGATATGGTTTGTGAGTACCAGGTGACAGATAAAGTTTTTTAGTGGCCAGATTTTAGACATTATCTAACATAATAATGAAGTTAAAAAATGTTGATTTCTGTTTTTAAGATACATTTGGAAGATCCCGTTTACTTACACTTCAAGCAAAGAAGGAAATTTTGACAAAGATGGCGCCAGCATTTCCTGGTTAGATGGAACGACCAAAGGTGATATTTCCTTCGGTACAATTTTATGTGGAGTTCTTATAATATTAAATCATCATTGTTTTTATCAACAAACCCTGGTGTCGTGTTAAAAAAAAATTTGATTAGCAAAAGAAAATGAAGAATCTTAAAAGGACTATAATTTTCCAACAGTTTCATCCAAGGTTTCTATTTTCTTTCAAGAGCAAACCAGGAAGTAAAGTAAACAACGACATTGCTTGTTTTATCATCGTCACTAGTTAGTCCTCCGGCGAGAACCGCAAAGTGCTATAGTTTTGCATTTTGTCCATGTGTCCTCCTGTCCTTTTGCTATATATTCTGAGCACTATCTAATCTTGGGAAATTTATTCTTGGGATTGGGTTCACCTTGGTAAGACTGTGTGTTGTGTATCCAAATTAAGTCACTCTGACCTACATTATCATCTTTGAATCACATTAAAGAAAAGGTTTATCCTCGCCTATCTTAGAAACTATTACTCACAGGAACTTCATATTTGTGATATGGGTTCATTATGGTGAGACAGTGTATCACCTATTAACAGGTCATTCTGACCTACATTTTGACCTTTGACCTTCAAAGGGGGAGTTTAACTCAGTGTAGTATCGTGTTGTTACTAGAGCACTGTGCTCATAAACTCATGTATGTACCTGGACACTATTTATTTAGTAAACTGTTTTGCTTAAGATCCCCACAGCATGCATTAGTGATAGGAATTGTCATTTTACAGGCTGTAGCGTTGTGTGTTGTAAATATATTTACAGAAATAACGGATCCTGGTCTCCCCAACCCCTCAGACAAAGACAGCTGGGTGATATGAAACCGTCATTTTACAGGCTGTAGTGTCATGTGTTGTAAATATATTTACAGAAATAACGGATCCTGGTCTCCCCGACCCCTCAGACAAAGACAGCTGGGTGATATGAAACCGTCATTTTACAGGCTGTAGTGTCATGTGTTGTAAATATATTTACAGAAATAACGGATCCTGGTCTCCCCGACCCCTCAGACAAAGACAGCTGGGTGATATGAAACCGTCATTTTACAGGCTGTAGTGTCATGTGTTGTAAATATATTTACAGAAATAACGGATCCTTGTCTCCCCAACCCCTCAGACCAAGACAGCTGGGTGATATGAAACCGTCATTTTACAGGCTGTAGTGTCATGTGTTGTAAATATATTTACAGAAATAACGGATCCTGGTCCCCCGACCCCTCAGACAAAGACAGCTGGGTGATATGAAACCGTCATTTTACAGGCTGTAGTGTCATGTGTTGTAAATATATTTACAGAAATAACAGATCCTGGTCTCCCCGACCCCTCAGACAAAGACAGCTGGGTGATATGAAACCGTCATTTTACAGGCTGTAGTGTCATGTGTTGTAAATATATTTACAGAAATAACGGATCCTGGTCTCCCCGACCCCTCAGACAAAGACAGCTGGGTGATAGGGAACCTCCAGCAGTATGGTGTTTACAGGGTTTCTTATGACAATGACAACTGGAGAGCTATTATCAAACAGCTCAAGACAGATCACAAGGTACAAGTTTTATTTTTGTTGTGTTCCCTCTGATAGCTTGTTTGTATGTTTCTGAGGATGTCCCTTTTTTTTGCCATTTTAAACTTGAGGACATAAAAGTATAACTCATGTCTGTCCATTACATCATGTTTTGTGTAGCTACTTATTAAAAACCAATTATGAATTTAATTAATGATAAAACACTACCTAAGTATAGGCTCCTGAGGGTGGTGTGCAATCCTTTTAAAAAAAAAAAAAAATTTAATTAATGATAAAATACTACCTATGTATAGGCTCCTCCGGGACGTGTGCAATCCTTATTTTAATTAATGAAAAAACAGTACCTAACAGGCTGATGTTTTGTTTAACTAGCAAAGTTTAGTTGATTTGCCGGGGGAAAAAAATGAAAGAAAAAGGTGACAACAGCACTTAATATGACTATACAGTAAGATTTTGGACATGTATGGAGTATAGTACATATCTGTGATTTCTTTGTAGGTGATATCAATCATCAACCGAGGTCAGATTATAGACGATGCCTGGAATCTAGCACGGTAATCACCTCTTCACTGTTTACACCAAAACATAGCGAGGATCCAGAAGTGTGACTTACCGATGATATCAAACCGAAATATTTGAATGATCTGAAAATGTACTTTAACAAGTGTTGTATCCAATCCAAACATTTTAACCCTTTAGGCGCCTTAGGCGACTAAAGTGGACATGCAGACAGTGGCGCCATAGGCGATTTTGGTCGACAATTTTTCTGATGTTTTCAGATATTTTCTGGAAAATATTTGGCACTGAGCTGTACATTGTAAGAGATAAATTGGCGCCAAAACGGTTAATAATCTCTGTGTTAGATATGCTGTATATTGAGATCACAGATAGATCAGTTCCACTTGTCCCTTGTACTCACTAAAAAGTGACTTTTACAGCATAAACTTTCACAAAGTTTTAAAAGGGTTAAAAGAAATACGTTATTTATCTCACAAAATAAAACTTCTTTATTTTATCTTAAAGTGTTCAGTTTAGCATTTACGAATTATTTTATTTTATTCCACAGATCTGATCAGCTAGATATTGAGATAGCCCTGGAAAGCGTCGAGTACCTTGACCAGGAAATGGAGTATGTCCCATGGCTAACGGCAAAGTCCCAGCTCTCATTTTTGGACACCATGCTGTCAAAGACGGATGCCTATGGCCTTTTTCAAGTAATTATTTTTGCCAGTTCATTAAGGCAGCACTAGACAAACAATTTGATGATGAGACTGTAACCACAACTTGTCTCGTAGTGTTTTTATTGCCCCAATACTGTTGTTGGCTGTTCTTTGTTTGACCCCAGTGTAGTATATTAAAGTGAAGTCAATGGTAAAGTGAATTGTTGTTCATTTCACCATTATGGTAAAAATTATTAAGAGGTCATTAAATGTAAGACACAATTAAAAAAAAAAGATATTAAGAAGTCAGTAAATTTAAGACACAATTTAAAAAAAAATATATTAAGAGGTCATAACTGTAAGATATGATTTATAAAAAAGATTTTACAAGGTCAGTAACTGTAAGACACAATTTTTTAAAAAGAGATGTTAAGAGGTCAGTGAATGTAAGACACAATTTAAAAAAAAATATATTAAGAGGTCATAACTGTAAGACACAATTTAAAAAAAGATTTTAAGAGGTCGGTAAATTAAAGACATAATTAACAAAAAAAAGATATTAAGAGGTCATAACTGTAAGACACTATTAAAAAAAAGATTTTAAGACATACATAATTAACAAAAAAAAGATATTAAGAGGTCATAACTGTAAGACACTATTAAAAAAAAAAAAGATTTTAAGAGGTCGGTAAATTTAAGACATAATTAACAAAAAAAAGATATTAAGAGGTCATAACTGTAAGATACAATTAAAAAAAAAAGATTTGAAGAGGTCGGTAAATTTAAGACATAATTTAAAAAAAATATATATTAAGAGGTCATTACTGTAAGATACAATTAAAAAGAAGTGAATGTAAGACACACAAAGTAGACATGTGACACCAGTACTGTCCTTTCTTATAAACAATGAGCTGTTAATGATGGGTGTGAACCATTCAGCTACCTGTGTCTACATGTGATGTTTATTTATAGAGCTTCATGAAGAAGAAGGTGATTGGTCCATATGAGAAGATTAGAATACATAAACCACAGTCAACTCACATGGAATCGTAAGTAAAAAAAACCTTACTCTTCTGTCACTACAACTTCTCTAGCATAACCCAAACTCAGTATAGAGAATTCATTAAATAGATATAGGTGAAAGTAAAATCTCAAACGCTTCTGTCACTACAACTTCTGTAGCATAACCTTAACTCATTGTAGTTACGGTGTGGAGGCGTGTGTGGAGGAGACGAACTGTACTATTTGAATCCCTCGACTTTGTTAATTATCTAATTACCTGTTACAGTTTGTTAAGGGCTGAAATCGTAGCTACGGCCTGTAGTTACGGTGTGGAGGCGTGTGTGGAGGAGACGAACTGTACTATTTGAATCCCTCGACTTTGTTAATTATCTAATTACCTGTTACAGTTTGTTAAGGGCTGAAATCGTAGCTACGGCCTGTAGTTACGGTGTGGAGGCGTGTGTGGAGGAGACGAACTGTACTATTTGAATCCCTCGACTTTGTTAATTATCTAATTACCTGTTACAGTTTGTTAAGGGCTGAAATCGTAGCTACGGCCTGTAGTTACGGTGTGAAGGCGTGTGTGGAGGAGACGAACTGTACTATTTGAATCCCTCGACTTTGTTAATTATCTAATTACCTGTTACAGTTTGTTAAGGGCTGAAATCGTAGCTACGGCCTGTAGTTACGGTGTGGAGGCGTGTGTGGAAGATGCAAAGAACCTTTATAACACCTGGATGGATGATCCTGACAACAACCCGTAAGTACATCACCAACCCGTAAGTACATCACCAACCCCTAAGTACATCACCAGCCCGTAAGTACATCACCAACCCGGAAGTACATCACCAACCCGTAAGTCCATCACCAACCCGTAAGTACATCACCAACCCGTAAGTACATCACCAACCCGTAAGTACATCACCAACCCGTAAGTACATCACCAACCCCTAAGTCCATCACCAACCCGTAAGTCCATCACCAACCCGTAAGTACATCACCAACCCGTAAGTCCATCAATGAAGACATGTTGTAAAAAAGCCTTCAAATCAAACGACAAAGTTATCTACAAAAATCTGATTAAATAATACTTGTATGTACATAGTGTAGCTAATCCTACAAACACCATATCATTATATCTTATTGGTTGTTTTAGGTGTCTACACAGAAATCACAAAGGGAGATAATTGATATCCGATTCAGTTCTTTATCATATGAAACAGAATTTTAACTTAGATGTCTATAAATATCAGTTTAGAGCTGTACAAAATTGTCAAAAGGATATCAAGCATTTTAAAGTGGTTTTTTTATTTCTTGGGGCTAATATTTCACAGTTGACCCATTTAGGGAGTTTCTGGGAATTGATAATTCAGCTTTGGTACCCATGTATGTAAGTATACAATATTCCCTGAGATTTTGATTTACTGAAAAATCTTTGCTGGGTGGTCATTTTTTGCTATCGTTGATTCCTGTGAATGTATAGCAAAATTAGATAAAATATTTTACAAACTTAACATACTTAACAGATTTCAAAAACTCATTAAAATGGTATCCTACATGTACTGTAGCCTGGAGCTCTTTAGAAAGAGATGGTATTATCTGTATTTCCAGTATTCCACCTGACATCCAGGAGACTGTGTACTGTACAGCTATAGCCGCAGGGGGCTGGTCAGCCTGGAACTTCGCTCTTGATCAACTGTCCAGTACTATTGATGTAGCCCAGATAGCATTAATACAGAGAGCATTAGCCTGCTCCCGAGAACCCTGGATACTAAGACTGTAAGAATCAAAGTCATAGAATAACATTGTGAATAAAAGTATGTAAATTTTCATGTGTGACCTCTAGAGAACCCTGTGTGACCTCTAGAGAACCCTGTGCGACATCTAGAGAACCATGTGTGACCTCTAGAGAACCATGTGTGACCTCTAGAGAACCCTGTGTGACCGCTAGAGAACCATGTTTGGCCCCTAGATAACCATGTGTGACCTCTAGAGAACCCAGTGTGACCTCTAGAGAACCATGTGTGACCTCTAGAGAACCATGTGTGACCTATAGAGAACCATGTGTGACCTCTAGAGAACCATGTGTGACCTCTAGTGAACCATGTGTGACCTCTAGAGAACCATGTGTGACCTCTAGAGAACCATGTGTGACCTCTAGAGGACCCTGTGTGACCTCTAGAGAATCATGTGTGACCTCTAGAGAACCCAGTGTGACCTCTAGAGAACCCTGTGGGACCTCTAGAGAACCATGTGTGGCCCCTAGAGAATCATGTGTGACCTCTAGAGAACCCTGAATACTTATACTTTAAGAATCAAAGCCATAGAAAGACATTGTGAATAAAAGACTGTGAATTTTCATATGTGACCTCTAGAGAACCATGTGTGACCTCTAGAGAACCCTGTTTGACCTCTAGAGAACCATGTGTGACCTCTAGAAAACCATGTGTGACCTCTAGAGAACCATGTGTGACCTATAGAGAACCATGTGTGACCTCTAGAGAACCATGTGTGACCTCTAGAGAACCCAGTGTGACCTCTAGAGAACCATGTGTGACCTCTAGAGAACCATGTGTGACCTATAGAGAACCATGTGTGACCTCTAGAGAACCATGTGTGACCTATAGAGAACCATGTGTGACCTATAGAGAACCATGTGTGACCTATAGATAACCCTGAATACTTAGACTGTAAGAATCAAAGCCATAGAAAGATATTGTGAATTTTGATGTATGGCCTCGAAGAGCCTTGAATTTACTTAATTTACATAAAACTTCAATTGTAGACAGATCTCAACAAGGAGAAGTGCAGTACACAAGAACCATAACTCTCTTTTGCATAATTTAGGAGTTTTTGAAACTTGGTGTATACATTGTTCATTCTAAGAAAATATGCATTGTACCCAATCCAGGGCCTGCAACTTCTTAATTACAGAATTATTGCCCTTTGATTAAATTTTGTGCCCAATAAAATAATTTGTTCTTGTAATATAAATCATATATCTTGCCTTAAGTATTAACTGTTTCTGAGATACTGAAGAGACAATATCATGAATGTAACATTATGTCTTTTAACATAATCGATGTAGCATATTTGATATTTGAATGTAACGTTGTGTGATATTCCGTCTTTCCACAGCTACCTTAAACTGGCATTAAATTCCACCTACATACGCAGTCAGGACACTCTGACCGTGATTGAACATGTGGGAACCAACCAGATTGGCAGTACGTTTGCCTGGAACTTTTTGTTGGAGAATTGGGAATATATCAGATCAAGGTAATCAGTATAGAATTTAGTCGTAATTGGATGAAAAGATTTTGTCAGCAAAATTTTATCTTAGAAAAAACTGTGGAATATTTTTAGATGCTATGTGACAAGTGATAGGAAGAATCATAAAGACTGAAAACCTGAAACCAACCAATTAAAATGTAGTCATTGTTAGGGCGTTGTTTTAGGTTGTTATAGCAACGACTTAGAATTTTTTGGGCGTTGTCTTAGGGTTAATATAGCGATGACATAGAATTATATGGGCATTGTCTTAGGGTTAATATAGCGACGACATAGATTTGGGCATTGTCTTAGGGTTAATATAGCGACGACAGAATTATTTGGGCATTGTCTTAGGGTTAATATAGCGACGACAGAATTATTTGGGCATTGTCTTAGGGTTAATATAGCGACGACTTAGAATTATTTGGGCATTGTCTTAGGGTTAATATAGCGACAACATAGAATTATTTGGGCATTGTCTTAGGGTTAATATAGCGACGACAGAATTATTTGGGCATTGTCTTAGGGTTAATATAGCGACGACTTAGAATTATTTCGGCATTGTCTTAGGGTTAATATAGCGACAACAGAATTATTTGGGCATTGTCTTAGGGTTAATTTAGGGACGACTTAGAATTATTTAACGTATGTGTCATTATTTTGTTATTTATTGGTGTTGTAATCTTTCCCATCTGAATTACTGTTTGAATTTTGTCATGGAAACAATTTCATATAAATTAATTTCCATGAAATCAGACAGGGATTTTGAACATTGAGTGTAGTGCTGTATCACTAAATGTTTAAAGGGATTTAAAACTCATTGTATAACATATGGTTAATAAAGTGAATGCCTTTGCTGACAATATGATGACTTTATGTCAGATGTTTGAATGTTTGTTTTTTTGGTGACAATATAATGACTTTATGTCAGATGTTTGAATGTTTGTTTTTTTGGTGACAATATAATGACTTTATGTCAGATGTTTGAATGTTTGTTTTTGTGACAATATAATGACTTTATGTCAGATGTTTGAATGTTTGTTTTTGTGACAATATAATGACTTTATGTCAGATGTTTGAATGTTTGTTTTTGTGACAATATAATGACTTTATGTCAGATGTTTGAATGTTTGTTTTTGTGGTGACAATATAATGACTTTATGTCAGATGTTTGAATGTTTGTTTTTTGGTGACAATATAATGACTTTATGTCAGATGTTTGACAATATAATGACTTTATGTCAGATGTTTGAATGTTTGTTTTTGTGTGACAATATGACAATATAATGACTTTATGTCAGAGATGTTTGAATGACTTTATTCAGATGTTTTTGGTGACAATATAATGACAGATGTTTGAATGTTTATGTCAGATGTTTGAATGTTGAATGTTTTTTTTTTGTGACAATATAATGACTTTATGTCAGATGTTTGAATGTTTGTTTTTTTGGTGACAATATAATGACTTTATGTCAGATGTTTGAAGATGTTTGAATGTTTTGTTTGTTTTTTTGGTGACAATATAATGACTTTATGTCAGATGTTTGAATGTTTGTTTTTTGGTGACAATATAATGACTGAAAGTGAGTTGATTGAATGATTGTTTTTTTGAGAATATTATGAATTTATGTCAGATGTTTGAATGTTTGTTTTTTTGGTGACAATATAATGACTTTATGTCAGATGTTTGAATGTTTGTTTTTGTGACAATATAATGACTTTATGTCAGATGTTTGAATGTTTGTTTTTGTGGTGACAATATAATGACTTTATGTCAGATGTTTGAATGTTTATTTTTGTGGTGACAATATGATGACTTTATGTCAGATGTTTGAATGTTTTTTTTTGTGGTGACAATATAATGACTTTATGTCAGATGTTTGAATGTTTATTTTTTTGGTGACAATATGATGACTTGTCAGATGTTTGAATGTTTGTTTTTTTGGTGACAATATAATGACTTTATGTCAGATGTTTGAATGTTTGTTTGTGGTGACAATATAATGACTTTATGTCAGATGTTTGAATGTTTGTTTTTGTGACAATATGATGACTTTATGTCAGATGTTTGAATGTCATTATATTGGTGACAGTATAATGGCTTTATGTCAGATGTTTGAATGTTTATTTTTTTGTGACAATATAATGACTTTATGTCAGATGTTTGAATGTTTATTTTTTTGGTGACAATATAATGACTTTATGTCAGATGTTTGAATGTTTGTTTTTGTGACAATATAATGACTTTATGTCAGATGTTTGAATGTTTGTTTTTGTGGTGACAATATAATGACTTTATGTCAGATGTTTGAATGTTTGTTTTTGTGGTGACAATATAATGACTTTATGTCAGATGTTTGAATGTTTGTTTTTTGGTGACAATATAATGACTTTATGTCAGATGTTTGAATGTTTGTTTTTTTGGTGACAATATAATGACTTTATGTCATGACTTTATGATGTTTGAATGTTTGTTTTTTTGTGACAATATAATGACTTTATGTCAGATGTTTGAATGTTTATTTTTTTGTGACAATATAATGACTTTATGTCAGATGTTTGAATGTTTATTTTTTTGGTGACAATATAATGACTTTATGTCAGATGTTTGAATGTTTGTTTTTGTGGTGACAATATAATGACTTTATGTCAGATGTTTGAATGTTTGTTTTTGTGGTGACAATATAATGACTTTATGTCAGATGTTTGAATGTTTGTTTTTTTGTGACAATATAATGACTTTATGTCAGATGTTTGAATGTTTGTTTTTGTGGTGACAATATAATGACTTTATGTCAGATGTTGTGGTGACAATATAATGACTTTATGTCAGATGTTTGAAGATGTTTGAATGTTTGAATGTTTTTTTTGTGACAATATAATGACTTTATGTCAGATGTTTGAATGTTTGTTTTTGTGGTGACAATATAATGACTTTATGTCAGATGTTTGAATGTTTGTTTTGGTGGTGACAATATGATGACTTTATGTCAGATGTTTGAATGTTTGTTTTTGTGGTGACAATATAATGACTTTATGTCAGATGTTTGAATGTTTGTTTTTGTGACAATATAATGACTTTATGTCAGATGTTTGAATGTTTGTTTTTGTGGTGACAATATAATGACTTTATGTCAGATGTTTGAATGTTTATTTTTTTGTGACAATATAATGACTTTATGTCAGATGTTTGAATGTTTGTTTTTTTGGTGACAATATAATGACTTTATGTCAGATGTTTGAATGTTTGTTTTTTTGGTGACAATATAATGACTTTATGTCAGATGTTTGAATGTTTGTTTTTGTGGTGACAATATAATGACTTTATGTCAGATGTTTGAATGTTTATTTTTTTGGTGACAATATAATGACTTTATGTCAGATGTTTGAATGTTTCTTTTTGTGGTGACAATATAATGACTTCATGTTTGAATAAATGTTTATTTTTTTATCAGTTTTGGCGGAGCTTGGTTTTCTCTTGACCGACTTATATCTTCTCTGACGAGATCATTCAACACAGAAAGTGAATTAAACAAGGTAGGAGTTTTTAATTATGTGCGACAGCACTGTGGAGTAAGCTTTACCTATTATTTTCACATGGTATTGTGTCTTTCAGTAAAACTTAGTTGCTGTTGTGTCTTGCGCGACAGTGGTGTGAAGCGATACTTCAGTGAAACTTTTCAAGGAGGAGAGGAGCATGCAGTGGCATCATAATTTGTGTTAAAGATGTTTAATAATTCCTGAGGTTTTATGACCAAACCTGCGTTTTCTCATCAAACCATTATTATTGGGATTTTTTAAAACATTTTCTTCAGGTTTGTAATGTCAATAGAATAGAAGTTTTATAACACAACCTGTCGAAGATGACGTTTTGATAACTATGCTACATATTATGTTGGTAGGTGGCTTCAACACTTGCTCAAACACATCAGTCGTCTGTCAAAAACTATTATCCAATTACATTCCTGCTGTATTTTGGATCGTTTTCTTCAGGACCTTAGTGTACATAGGATTATAGTACTGCTAAAATGTTGGTTGATTCCGTACCATTTCGTACACTACGTACGTGGTTGTGTTATAAGATGAAGGTGACCTTGTAGTCATCGAAACGTTACACTCTAATCTTTTACTGGTTGTGTTATAAGATGAAGGTGACCTTGTAGTCATCGAAACGTCACACTCTAATCTTCTATTGGTTGTGTTATAAGATGAAGGTGATCGTGTAGTCATCGTAACGTCACACTCTAATCTTCTGCTGGTTGTGTTATAAGACAAAGGTGACTGTGTAGTCATTGAAACATCACACACAAATCTTCTACTGGTTGTGTTATAAGATGAAGGTGACCGTGTAGTCATCGTAACGTCACACTCTAATCTTCTGCTGGTTGTGTTATAAGACAAAGGTGACTGTGTAGTCATTGAAACATCACACACAAATCTTCTACTGGTTGTGTTATAAGATGAAGGTGACCGTGTAGTCATCGTAACGTCACACTCTAATCTTCTGCTGGTTGTGTTATAAGACAAAGGTGACTGTGTAGTCATTGAAACATCACACACAAATCTTCTACTGGTTGTGTTATAAGATGAAGGTGACCGTGTAGTCATCGTAACGTCACACTCTAATCTTCTGCTGGTTGTGTTATAAGACAAAGGTGACTGTGTAGTCATTGAAACATCACACACAAATCTTCTACTGGTTGTGTTATAAGATGAAGGTGACCGTGTAGTCATCGTAACGTCACACTCTAATCTTCTGCTGGTTGTGTTATAAGACAAAGGTGACTGTGTAGTCATTGAAACATCACACACAAATCTTCTACTGGTTGTGTTATAAGATGAAGGTGACCGTGTAGTCATCGAAACGTCACACGCTAATCTTCTACTGGTTGTGTTATAAGATGAAGGTGACCTTGTAGTCATCGAAACGTCACACTCTAATCTTCTACTGGTTGTGTTATAAGATGAAGGTGACCGTGTAGTCATTGAAACGTCACACACAAATCTTCTACTGGTTGTGTTATAAGAACTTCTATTCCATCATAATAGTTATCGATTTTGAGTTATATTTCTGTCTGTACACCTGTTTCGTCATCAAACCTGACAACACATCACACAATCTGAACTCCACCTCTGGTTTTCAAATTTCACTTTCTTAATTAATCGTACAAAAATATAAATACAATATGTGCTTGATTCTGAGGATACAGACAAGTTGACAAACACGAGTCGTTATAACTACCCGTAATTCTTGTTAACGTTATGATTCTGATGATATAGACAAGTTGTCAAACGTGCGACGTTATAACTACCTGTAATTTTTGTTAACGTTATGATTCTGATGATACAGACAAGTTGACAAATGTGAGTCGTTGTAACTACCCGTAATTCTTGTTAACATTGTTTATCATTTCTGTTGTTTATTTTGAGAGAGAGTGTTTTAATTGGCTGCTACAAGTCAGTTGTGTATTATTTGCCTGATACGTTGACCTTCTGGTAAAACATTTCTGTTTGATAAGGACAACCTTAGCATTGTGTATCAGAATAGATGTAAATAATATGTATATATATGTAATAATCTGTCACACGACATTTTCACTATTTAGATACCTTATGTATCAGGTGTGAAAAATTGTTGAAATATTGTCCTGATGAAAACTCGCTTAGAGGTGAAACTAGTAGGTCAATAAATGACCAGACTTAACAGGTGACGCTTGGGTATGTTGTGATTGAAACTACCTTGATTTATTTTTATACTCTATTTCACCCCCCTGGGTACCCCCTGGTACCCATACCCAACACACAGCCCCCTGCTGTTTAACCCACCAACTTGAGACTGACGTTGGCTCTTCATTCTTCAATAAATTTTCTATATAACACACGTGTAATATGACCTAGCATAAATGTGATTGGTTCCCATTGTTTCCTTGGTGACATCATAACTCCATGCTGTCACGTATGTCGTCACCTAAGGAGACAGAGAAAGAATGTGAAAGTTTATATATAAATTCTGTGAAGAAATGCCATCAATTGTTATCTCTGGAAAAAAGTTTCAGAAGAGGGGAGATTCGGTTTTCCGTTCTGATCGTAAACACAACTCACATATTTTGTGGAGCCCATGAGAGTGTTCTTGTCAAATGATGAAACAAGTTCAATGATTTCGTATCCTGTGAAAGCATATTTTTGGTGGGACTCAATTTTTGTGGTTTTGCAAAAAATATACATTTTTGTTGGCACTATATGTTGTGGATATGGCTTACACACTAAATCAACTTGTACTGAAATTCATGTCAGTTTTTATCTGGTCATTTTCTGTCCATATAAATTCATGTCAGTTTTTATCTGGTCATTTTCTGTCCATATAAATTCATGTCAGTTTTTATATGGTCATTTTCTGTCCATATAAATTCATGTCAGTTTTTATATGGTCATTTTCTGTCCATATAAATTCATGTCAGTTTTTATATGGTCATTTTCTGTCCATATAAATTCATGTCAGTTTTTATATGGTCATTTTCTGTCCATATAAATCATGGACTAAGATTAAAAAAAAGTTCAACAACAATATAAAAAAAATTGGGAAAATTTTTTTTTAATATTAAAACAAGTCTGAATGTATTTGAACATCATAGACACAATGATGCAGCACCTCCCACTGATAACCTGGACTGCTGTATAGTTCTGTAATATCTGTTTTTTATACCCTTTTGATAATAAAACACTCGCTTTAATTTAAGCCTTTTCTGTCTGTGTGCCTTTTGTAGTTTGAATTGTGCATTTTTGATTTTTAGAAATCTCAAACCACCCACAAAATTGTTAAAATGAAACCAAATGTTGTAAAATTCTTAGATAATTCTATCTAGTAAGTTCAGTTGGTAATACCATAACACAGCTTTTTGGGATAATTATTGTGAAAAGTCAAATTAATTGTTAGGCTAAATTTATGTCAGGTTTTTGAAATAATTACGAAGTTAAAATATTTGGTCAACGTTTGTAATATTTTAGCTTGATCTGCCATGATGTATATCTTCACAGATTAAATTTGTCTGAAAGTTGCATTAGTTTTTGTAAAATAACATCGAAGGAAGAAACAGAGCAGTGTCCTACTGAGATCAATAACCAACCAGATATTGTAGTATATGACAAGGATTCTAACTTTTTCAAAAACTTGATGAACACAGTCGTAGTGACGGAACCACAGATATGTATTTCTGGGTAGACACCTCCAAAGCTAACATATAAAATGTAGTGTCTGTAAAATTAACTTTAAAATTTATAGAAAATTACTTTGTGTCAGATGTGGAAAAAACTTAATCTTCTACCAGACGTCGATTATTAAATTTCATTATTAAATAGGACTTAATGCTCTATCACACATCTATTGTTAAATCTCATCTTTAAATAGGACTTGTTGCAATGATAATGCTCTGTGATATCTGCCAGTTTTTTTGTGGAACAGCAAAGTTCTGTTTCCTGTCATCATCTTCTGTTTTTGTCACTGAGAATGATAATGTTTTGGGTAAAACTCTGTTCAATATGTCGTAGGCATTGGTAAATACAGGATATGACTCGTGCAACTTTTGTTTCTTTGTACAGCCATCTGCGAGGATTAAAACAGAAAAGAGGACCAAGGTATTAATAAAGGGAAATGCTCTGACTGGTTAAATCAGAGTAGATTAGAACTCGGAGATTCAACATAGCAACCATACAAATGAAACTGCTAGCTCAGACTATAATCAGATAAATCAAGTGTACCCATATATAGAGGTATCAAATTCAAAAGACAAGCAACATTGTGCAAGGAAAGGTCTTTATACTGTAAAATCATGAATTTTTGTGAGCGATTAATTTTGTCGAATTTATGGGTACTCTACATACACAAAATGATAAACAGATAACAATTGATATGGATTTTAGTACTAGTGCATTTGGTGAGCAAGATTAATCCATGAAATCATGTGCCAGCCATGAAATTTTAGCTCCACTAAAATATGTATGATTTTACAGTGTACAGAGAAACATTCACGCATCAAAGCTGGAGTTAAACTCACCATTTTCGTCCAGTATTAAATTTGCTATACAAGACACATTTCTAAATAATCAAACTTTAGCTTCCCTTCATACATTAAACATTTTTTTTCTATTTATTTGTTTCTGTATCTACTTTTTGTTCTTTTATCCATCCTTGGAAAACAGTGGAAAGTAGAACCTTTATGTTGCTTCTGTCCTTTTTGGTCAGTCTGCCATGAAGCTTGCTGAGCTTGCTAATTCACTGACAATTACATTGACTATAAATGCCTTCAGAAAGCACTTGAATGCTTCAATATTTGCAGTTACCAATGACTTCATATTGCTATACACTGCTAGCTTCAACAGTAACTTTATTTTATTGACAGAAGTGCACTAATTCAGTATATTGTTTGTATACCATACTTCCACTGCACCAGATTAAGTATGTTTGCACTGTGGCATCGCTATAGCATTACACTCCAGCTTAGTGTAAAATTATTAATTTTTGTGGGGAATATATTTTAGTTGATTTTCTGAAAAACTCACAATTCTCGAATTCACATATCCATGAACTGTTAAAATGATTTCAAATATTGAGGTATAGTTACATCAGAATCAAGTGTTAAGGAAATAGTGATTTAAGAAAACAGAAACCTTGGAAATTGAACCCCACAAAAAACCCCGCAAAAATTGAACCCCACAAAAAACCCCACAAAAAAAACCCACAAAAATTGAACCCCACAAAAAAAACCCACAAAAATTGAACCCCACAAAAATAAATGATACAGTAGGATGCTTGTTATTGTTTAAGATTAGTACTGGGATGTATGGTTTAATTTTAAATTCTAGAAAATTGTGTTGACAGGCTTCTTATCTAAAGTCTCTATTTGTGTGTAAAATACTTTCTTTATAGAATGAATATATACTCAAGGAATAAAGAAACGCAGGCTGACATTATTTGCAATATTTTGCAAACGTGTTGTTCAAAAAGAATAATATTTGGTCAAGCAACTCTCTAGGTTACAGTGCATGTGGTCCTGTATCGAATGTTGTATTATTGTATTGTGTTATGTTGTCTTCCGGGGAAAGCAAGCGACAGAAAAACCTCATGCACAGCAGTGTTGTGACATTGAGTTATACTGCTTGATATACCATTAGGTAGTCTTGATAGAGACACATCGTTTTCCGATATTTTAATTAATTTCTGATATCACGGCTGACAGAAGTTCAGAAGGGTCAGGCCATTGCGATAATTATGCCAAGGCAAAATACAGGTTGCCAGACATTTCAGTGTCCGTATATATGCACTATTGAACATCTTGTTAGACGTCAGAGGGAGACTGGATGGGTTGCTAAGAGACGTAGGTCTGGGTGTCCGCGTGTGACCTCACAACGTCACGACAAGTGCTCAATCGACACGTTACTGCCACGGAATCTGCCTTCCATACCATGGGTACTCATACCCAACAAATTCATGCGAAAACTCTACGGAAACTATTGTGGGAAGTTGGTCTGTGGGCATGTCATCCATTTGTATGTCTTCCCCTTATCGCTGCTCATTGCCAGCGTCGTATGACTTGCGTGGCAGCACATTCCCTCAGAATATTCCCACTGAGGCAGTGGAGGTGGGTTTTATATACGGATGAATGTTCACCCTGTTTCGAGCAGACGTTTAACATCTTGTGTACTGACATCATGGACAATGTTTTTCTGACTTCTGCGTAATAAAGACAGATAGGTTTGGGGATGGATAGATTATGGTTGGGGGAAGGATCTCACATGTAGTTAAATCACCACCGGTTGTGATAGTGAGTAATTTAACTACCACTAGGTTTAGAGATGATATCCCGACCCCAAGTTGTCCCAATTTTTTGCAGTTTATACATGACACAAACAGCAGTTGACAGAGAAAAAGAAAATTTATTGAACATCAATACTAACTTTACCTTGTTCAGGACATAGGAATAAAAAACTAAACTAGGTTTTGGCAATCTTAGGGGCTGCTCACTATCTACCTTCCTACTAAATTTACAAAAAATATAAACTGGTACAAAGCAAAGATACAAAATAAACCTATCTACTTACAAATAAGCAAAATTACTTACAACATAATTAATTGAAAGTGGGGTGATCCCCATGCAACCTCAAAGCTAACACAACCTCCAGGCGACCCTGAAGGTTATAAGGTTAAGTGGGCGACCCCACTGCAACACCGAGCGATCCCGGAGTTGTGATAATTAAGAACTCATTGCGAGTCACCGAGCGATCCCGGAATTGTGTAATTAATACTCATTGTGAGTAAAGTGTATGCACGTGACTTACAGGGCAAGCCCTGGCAGGTACATAGACTTGAGAACAACATGGAAATGGAATGATGTAACAAATGTAAGTACAAAAAACAAGCCTAAAATGAAAAATATAATTCCCCAGAATTAAATGCCCAAACGAGCGAAGGTACTATTTACAAGGTAAAGTAGTAACAAGTGAGAGCCCCCAAGAAAAGTTGTCCCAATTTTTTGCAGTAAAACGACCTCACATTCCAGCAGGATAATGCTCGGCCCCATAAAGCGAGAATCTGTCGCGACATTCTCACTAACAACAATATCCACTCACTGTGCTAGCTGCCATACAGCCCCCATCTATCCCCTATTGAGCACTTGTTGGACCAGTTGGATAGACAGGTTTGATGACGCCAGCCTCGCCTGTTACTCTGGCCCTCTTGGACGAATAGGCCAACGTCCCAATGAGGAGGATAAACTTACTCATGAACTCCATTTCTAGGAGAATCAGTTCATTTTGATTTGAGATAGCAGAGTTGTGTTTTAATTCCCTTCAGTTACTCCTAAATCACTTACCAGATACAAATAGTTGATTTTGCACTTTGTTCTGTATGATTTAATCTTCATTCTTACTTCAAAGTTTACCCTGTGTTTCTTTATCCCTTGAGTAGATAATCATTAAACTGATGGCATTTATGGTCAATATAAATGCCAGACTTTTGCAGGTAAATATATCACATCACACACATACATGTCATAACAAGACAGTTCAATGCTTCAGTACAAAATCTTATGTTTCATTCCTAAATTGAATAACAGGGTTCAACTGTAGTCATCCTTTGATAACCTGAACAAAACAGAATGGTAATCCTTATATCCTTAAGTTTTTCTTCATTAAAATATACTTCTATTTTTTCTTTTATTGATTAAAAAATTTAGAGACACAAATAACAAAACATTCAGTTTTTTTGGCCTAAAAACTACCACCAGGGAACACCCTATTGTTACAGTCAAACAGCCTATTTTTTTAAGTATTTCCGATACTAAAATACGAAAACGTTATCTATATTGCCGATATTACTTAATTTTGCTTTTGTAATTTGTACCCATTTTTTTTTTTTTCAGCTAAGAAGATTTATTGACACACACCCAGATCTTGGTACTGGATCAACAGCGTTCTCCCAGGCTGTCGAAAACACAAAAAACCACATGAATTTCATGGAAAAAAATTTTGACACCATAAAAGCCTGGCTTCAACGAGTGTCAACTTCATCAAAACATGTCCTAAAAGATGTACGCTTGCCTCGCAGTGTGAAACCAAATCACTACGAACTGGACCTTAAACCTGATATGTACGGCGTCGATCCATCCTCATTCCATTTTTATGGGAAGGTTAAAATCCATGTGGATTGCCTGGAAAACACTGATAATATCACACTACATATCAATAAACTGTCCATCAACGAGACAAGTGTAACGGTGACAGATGACGGAGACCTCGATATCGGGGTCACGAGAATCGGCTATGATGAGGAAAGACAGTTTCTGATTGTTTATACAAAACTTATGGCTGGCAAGAATTATATTTTAGGGATGAATTTTGATGGGCCGTTAAAAGATGACATGAAAGGTCTCTATCTGAGTTCGTACACCAGAGGAAATAAGACAATGTGAGTACTGATTAGTGGTAAAAAGAAATTTCACACCTGAGATAATGTTGGGTTTCAAGTTAGTGGCCATGTGGAATATAACATTTTATCCTGTAACTGGCATTGTCACTGCCAGACAACACCTTCCACACCTATTTTGGCTGTATTTGTCATTGTTGGAAAACGGTTGCATTTTAACACACGCAATAACTCGCCAGAATTGCTTTCTGATATCCTAGAACATTTCATTCAAAAATATCAATAGCTTTAAATAAGTTTTGTTGTAACAAACAAGCTTACTTTCAAAAATTCAGAAAATTGTTTTTGATATGTTCACTGAAGTGTGCGATCCATATTTCTGTTCGGAATAATTATTTTGACATGTGTCATCAGGTACAGTATAGTGTAATGTCAACATCAAATAAATGTAGATTGAATAGCCCTAACAAACCACTTAAATTATGATTGTCTGAATTTTCAATAAAATTTGTGACAGTGTAGTTATATTTCCTGTTTGTGACAGTGTAGTTATATTTCCTGTTTGTGACAGTGTAGTTATATTTCCTGTTTGGTTTGTGACAGTGTAGTTATATTTCCTGTTTGGTTTGTGACAGTGTAGTTATATTTCCTGTTTGTGACAGTGTAGTTATATTTCCTGTTTGTGACAGTGTAGTTATATTTCCTGTTTGTGACAGTGTAGTTATATTTCCTGTTTGGTTTGTGACAGTGTAGTTATATTTCCTGTTTGTGACAGTGTAGTTATATTTCCTGTTTGTGACAGTGTAGTTATATTTCCTGTTTGTGACAGTGTAGTTATATTTCCTGTTTGTGACAGTGTAGTTATATTTCCTGTTTGTGACAGTGTAGTTATATTTCCTGTTTGTGACAGTGTAGTTATATTTCCTGTTTGTGACAGTGTAGTTATATTTCCTGTTTGTGACAGTGTAGTTATATTTCCTGTTTGTGACAGTGTAGTTATATTTCCTGTTTGTGACAGTGTAGTTATATTTCCTGTTTGTGACAGTGTAGTTATATTTCCTGTTTGTGACAGTGTAGTTATATTTCCTGTTTGTGACAGTGTAGTTATATTTGCTGTTTGTGACAGTGTAGTTATATTTCCTGTTTGTGACAGTGTAGTTATATTTCCTGTTTGTGACAGTGTAGTTATATTTCCTGTTTGTGACAGTGTAGTTATATTTCCTGTTTGTGACAGTGTAGTTATATTTCCTGTTTGTGACAGTGTAGTTATATTTCCTGTTTGTGACAGTGTAGTTATATTTCCTGTTTGTGACAGTGTAGTTATATTTCCTGTTTGTGACAGTGTAGTTATATTTCCTGTTTGTGACAGTGTAGTTATATTTCCTGTTTGTGACAGTGTAGTTATATTTCCTGTTTGTGACAGTGTAGTTATATTTCCTGTTTGTGACAGTGTAGTTATATTTCCTGTTTGTGACAGTGTAGTTATATTTCCTGTTTTGTGTTATATTTCCTGTTTGTGACAGTGTAGTTATATTTCCTGTTTGTGACAGTGTAGTTATATTTCCTGTTTGTGACAGTGTAGTTATATTTCCTGTTTGTGACAGTGTAGTTATATTTCCTGTTTGTGACAGTGTAGTTATATTTCCTGTTTGTGACAGTGTAGTTATATTTCCTGTTTGTGACAGTGTAGTTATATTTCCTGTTTGTGACAGTGTAGTTATATTTCCTGTTTGTGACAGTGTAGTTATATTTCCTGTTTGTGACAGTGTAGTTATATTTCCTGTTTGTGACAGTGTAGTTATATTTCCTGTTTGTGACAGTGTAGTTATATTTCCTGTTTGTGACAGTGTAGTTATATTTCCTGTTTGTGACAGTGTGTTATATTTCCTGTTTGTGACAGTGTAGTTATATTTCCTGTTTGTGACAGTGTAGTTATATTTCCTGTTTGTGACAGTGTAGTTATATTTCCTGTTTGTGACAGTGTAGTTATATTTCCTGTTTGTGACAGTGTAGTTATATTTCCTGTTTGTGACAGTGTAGTTATATTTCCTGTTTGTGACAGTGTAGTTATATTTCCTGTTTGTGACAGTGTAGTTATATTTCCTGTTTGTGACAGTGTAGTTATATTTCCTGTTTGTGACAGTGTAGTTATATTTCCTGTTTGTGACAGTGTAGTTATATTTCCTGTTTGTGACAGTGTAGTTATATTTCCTGTTTGTGACAGTGTAGTTATATTTCCTGTTTGTGACAGTGTAGTTATATTTCCTGTTTGTGACAGTGTAGTTATATTTCCTGTTTGTGACAGTGTAGTTATATTTCCTGTTTGTGACAGTGTAGTTATGTTTGTGACAGTGTAGTTATATTTCCTATTTGTGACAGTGTAGTTATATTTCCTGTTGGTGACAGTGTAGTTATATTTCCTGTTTGTGACAGTGTAGTTATATTTCCTGTTTGTGACAGTGTAGTTATATTTCCTGTTTGTGACAGTGTAGTTATATTTCCTGTTTGTGACAGTGTAGTTATATTTCCTGTTTGTGACAGTGTAGTTATATTTCCTGTTTGTGACAGTGTAGTTATATTTCCTGTTTGTGACAGTGTAGTTATATTTCCTGTTTGTGACAGTGTAGTTATATTTCCTGTTTGTGACAGTGTAGTTATATTTCCTGTTTGTGACAGTGTAGTTATATTTCCTGTTTGTGACAGTGTAGTTATATTTCCTGTTTGTGACAGTGTAGTTATATTTCCTGTTTGTGACAGTGTAGTTATATTTCCTGTTTGTGACAGTGTAGTTATATTTCCTGTTTGTGACAGTGTAGTTATATTTCCTGTTTGTGACAGTGTAGTTATATTTCCTGTTTGTGACAGTGTAGTTATATTTCCTGTTTGTGACAGTGTAGTTATATTTCCTGTTTGTGACAGTGTAGTTATATTTCCTGTTTGTGACAGTGTAGTTATATTTCCTGTTTGTGACAGTGTAGTTATATTTCCTGTTTGTGACAGTGTAGTTATATTTCCTGTTTGTGACAGTGTAGTTATATTTCCTGTTTGTGACAGTGTAGTTATATTTCCTGTTTGTGACAGTGTAGTTATATTTCCTGTTTGTGACAGTGTAGTTATATTTCCTGTTTGTGACAGTGTAGTTATATTTCCTGTTTGTGACAGTGTAGTTATATTTCCTGTTTGTGACAGTGTAGTTATATTTCCTGTTTGTGACAGTGTAGTTATATTTCCTGTTTGTGACAGTGTAGTTATATTTCCTGTTTGTGACAGTGTAGTTATATTTCCTGTTTGTGACAGTGTAGTTATATTTCCTGTTTGTGACAGTGTAGTTATATTTCCTGTTTGGTTTGTGACAGTGTAGTTATATTTCCTGTTTGTGACAGTGTAGTTATATTTCCTGTTTGTGACAGTGTAGTTATATTTCCTGTTTGTGACAGTGTAGTTATATTTCCTGTTTGTGACAGTGTAGTTATATTTCCTGTTTGTGACAGTGTAGTTATATTTCCTGTTTGTGACAGTGTAGTTATATTTCCTGTTTGTGACAGTGTAGTTATATTTCCTGTTTGTGACAGTGTAGTTATATTTCCTGTTTGTGACAGTGTAGTTATATTTCCTGTTTGTGACAGTGTAGGTATATTTCCTGTTTGTGACAGTGTAGTTATATTTCCTGTTTGTGACAGTGTAGTTATATTTCCTGTTTGTGACAGTGTAGTTATATTTCCTGTTTGTGACAGTGTAGTTATATTTCCTGTTTGTGACAGTGTAGTTATATTTCCTGTTTGTGACAGTGTAGTTATATTTCCTGTTTGTGACAGTGTAGTTATATTTCCTGTTTGTGACAGTGTAGTTATATTTCCTGTTTGTGACAGTGTAGTTATATTTCCTGTTTGTGACCGTGTAGTTATATTTCCTGTTTGTGACAGTGTAGTTATATTTCCTGTTTGTGACAGTGTAGTTATATTTCCTGTTTGTGACAGTGTAGTTATATTTCCTGTTTGTGACAGTGTAGTTATATTTCCTGTTTGTGACAGTGTAGTTATATTTCCTGTTTGTGACAGTGTAGTTATATTTCCTGTTTGGTTTGTGACAGTGTAGTTATATTTCCTGTTTGTGACAGTGTAGTTATATTTCCTGTTTGTGACAGTGTAGTTATATTTCCTGTTTGTGACAGTGTAGTTATATTTCCTGTTTGTGACAGTGTAGTTATATTTCCTGTTTGTGACAGTGTAGTTATATTTCCTGTTTGTGACAGTGTAGTTATATTTCCTGTTTGTGACAGTGTAGTTATATTTCCTGTTGGTGACAGTGTAGTTATATTTCCTGTTTGGTTTGTGACAGTGTAGTTATATTTGCTGTTTGTGACAGTGTAGTTATATTTTCTGTTTGGTTTGTGACAGTGTAGTTATATTTCCTGTTTGTGACAGTGTAGTTATATTTCCTGTTTGTGACAGTGTAGTTATATTTCCTGTTTGTGACAGTGTAGTTATATTTCCTGTTTGGTTTGTGACAGTGTAGTTATATTTCCTGTTTGTGACAGTGTAGTTATATTTCCTGTTTGGTTTGTGACAGCTACTTGGCTACCACACAAATGGAACCGACTGATGCCAGAAAGGCGTTTCCTTGTTTTGACGAGCCGGCAATGAAGGCAACATTCCAGGTGACATTATTACGAAAACCACATCTCATGTCTTTATCAAACATGCCAAGGCTGTCGACAGAAAAAAGGTAAGTCTTTGGTGTTCATCATGATGATGTCATGATGATGATGTCAAGATGATGATGTCATGATGATGATGATGATGTCATGATGATGATGATGATGATGTCATGATGATGATGATGTCATGATGATGATGATGTCATGATGATGATGATGTCATGATGATGATGTCAAGATGATGATGTCATGATGATGATGATGTCATGATGATGATGATGTCAAGATGATGATGTCATGATGATGATGTATAGAGACTAGATAAAGTTTGTGGCCATCTATTTGATATAAAAGAGAAGCAATCTGTTATTTTTACTGTTGTTATTGTTAATTAAGGACAATGTATTGTTAATTAAGGACAATGTTGTTGTTTATTAAGGACAATGTATTGTTAATTAAGGACAATGTTGCTGTTAATTAAGGACAATGTTGTTGTTAATTGAGGACAATGTTGTTGTTAATTAAGGACAATGTTGTTGTTAATTAAGGACAATGTATTGTTAATTAAGGACAATGTATTGTTAATTAAGGACAATGTTGTTGTTAATTGAGGACAATGTTGTTGTTAATTAAGGACAATGTTGTTGTTAATTAAGGACAATGTATTGTTAATTAAGGACAATGTTGTTGTTAATTAAGGACAATGTTGTTGTTAATTGAGAACAATGTTGTTGTTAATTAAGGACAATGTTATTGTTAATTAAGGACAATGTTGTTGTTAATTAAGGACAATGTTGTTAATTAAGGACATTGTTGTTGTTAATTGAGAACAATGTTGTTGTTAATTAAGGACAATGTTGTTGTTAATTGAGGACAATGTTGTTGTTAATTAAGGACAATGTATTGTTAATTAAGGACAATGTTAATTAAGGACAATGTTATTGTTAATTAAGGACAATGTTGTTGTTAATTGAGGACAATGTTGTTGTTAATTAAGGACAATGTATTGTTAATTAAGGACAATGTTATTGTTAATTAAGGACAATGTTATTGTTAATTAAGGACAATGTTGTTGTTAATTGAGGACAATGTTGTTGTTAATTAAGGACAATGTATTGTTAATTAAGGACAATGTTATTGTTAATTAAGGACAATGTTATTGTTAATTAAGGACAATGTTGTTGTTTATTGAGGACAATGTTGTTGTTAATTAAGGACAATGTATTGTTAATTAAGGACAATGTTATTGTTAATTGAGGACAATGTTATTGTTAATTAAGGACAATGTTGTTGTTTATTAAGGACAATGTATTGTTGATTAAGGACAATGTATTGTTAATTAAGGACAATGTTGTTGTTAATTAAGGACAATGTTGTTGTTAATTGAGAACAATGTTGTTGTTAATTAAGGACAATGTTATTGTTAATTAAGGACAATGTTGTTGTTTATTAAGGACAATGTTGTTGTTAATTGAGAACAATGTTGTTGTTAATTAAGGACAATGTTATTGTTAATTAAGGACAATGTTATTGTTAATTAAGGACAATGTTGTTGTTTATTAAGGACAATGTATTGTTGATTAAGGACAATGTATTGTTAATTAAGGACAATGTTGTTAATTAAGGACAATGTTGTTGTTGATTAAGGACAATGTTGCTGTTGATTAAGGACAATGTATTGTTAATTAAGGACAATGTTGTTAATTAAGGACAATGTTGTTAATTAAGGACAATGTATTGTTAATTAAGGACAATGTTGTTAATTAAGGACAATGTTGTTAATTAAGGACAATGTTGTTGTTAATTGAAGGACAATGTTGTTGTTAATTAAGGACAATGTTATTGTTAATTAAGGACAATGTTGTTAATTAAGGACAATGTATTGTTAATGAAGGACAATGTATTGTTGATTAAGGACAATGTATTGTTAATTAAGGACAATGTTGTTAATTAAGGACAATGTTGTTAATTAAGGACAATGTTGTTAATTAAGGACAATGTTGTTGTTAATTAAGGACAATGTTTGATTCTTTTGTTCAGGTTTGATAATATCATTACTATTGAATCATCTGTATGTAATTTATGATTAATTAACATCATGATTTACAGGGGTGATGGATTCCAGGCGGACATTTACAAAACGTCCAGGAAGATGTCTACATATTTGCTTGCCTTTGTAATCAGTGACTTTGTGGGGAAAACAACAACAACAAAACACAATATAACAGTAAGCTGATGAAGTAAAATCCTGGCCGAAAGCTTAATATTAATTTTTTATCTATACGAAAAATTTAATAATATCAATTTTGAAAAGTTACAGCTTTTGTAGGAAACTGCACTGAAGTAGATGATGGTTGAATTTGATAGATCTAAAGTCCTTAGTGAGTAACTCAGTAAAGTTTGTAGAAAAGAAATTGAATTGTGGTTCCTCTTGACTAATTGACTACAAATATAACAAAATGTTTTGTACAATACAGGATGATAATTATAAAATCCTTAACTATTTTATTGGCGAGATATCTATGTATAGTGCCATACTGTTTTGTTGGTATAATTCTAAAAATCTCTTGAACTCATCACAAATTTTTTTTTTTAAATCCTTTCCAACAGACTTGATGATTTGTAAACATTTCTTGATATCACAATGAAAGAATGTATTTTTTTTATAAAGCTTGTCTATAATGTACTGTGAACAACAGGTGAAGTGTACGATAAGACTATAACAGAGTGAAAACAGGTCCCATATTCATGAGACGTTCCCCTTGCTCAAGTATGAATTTTGTGTTCATGCCTTATGTCTTGTTCAAGTTCAAAATTAATAAATCAGGCTGATTTTGCTAAAGATTAAAAAAAAAAATTTTGAAAGGACTTCAAGTCAAAGTAATGTTCAATGTTTATAAATGACAGTCATTAGGGCAAGCTGTTGGACCAAATGTATAAGCATAAAAGACAAGACAAACGATCAGATTTGATTGAAATTGGCCGTTTATTAATATAAAAACGACGTACTTGAAACATAAAGAGTTTTAAGCATGAACAACAAATTTTACATAAGAAGACATTTGTTCCTAGGTGGGGATCAAAAACGCCCACACCTAGTCTATAACAAAAAATTAATAATTAATAGATACAGTTATTATAAAAGATGGACACCTAGGAAAACATTTGGTCCTAGGTTGGGGTCGAAAGCGCCCAAACCTAGTTAATGACAACGACTTAATACATACAAGTAATAAGAAAGATGAACATCCACTGTTGTATCTGATAACCTTTATTGATCTACGGAAGGAGAAGGGAGTGGAGGTTAAGACGTAATTTCTAAAATATATGCAAAACAATCAAAACACTGACTGACCTATATGCGTCTTTTCCCTTTGTTTCTTTGTCTGGTAATGACTTGATGCGCATGCTCATCACACCCTTTCCCCCTTCCGCATCAAAACCAAAGGCCGCGAAATTTAAATTGTTAAAAAATCATACGGAGTATTGAATATTATTGACCACATATAAACCACATGACAACAACTCCTTGTATGTATAAAGTACATTAAAATGTCATTTTAATTATCATTTATATCTGACATTTTGCCAAAGATTTTAAAAAAATTTTGAAAGGACTTCAAGTCAAAGTCACATTCAATGTTTATATTTGACATTTGTATTGTTTTATATGATTTAGGAGAATTATAAAAAAAAGTTTGCTTGAACACAAAATCTATGCTTGAGCATGAGAATGGTTTCATAAATACGGGCCCTGGTCCATATCTATAGGTTAATACACTACCATGATGGTATACGGTCTCTCATTACCTTTGGGGCCTTCTATTGACATGATACTTTCATAAGGACTTTCAGCTCATCATCTACATTCATAACAATATTATCATTAGAATGGAAGTATGAAAAGTTATCATTGAGTTGAAGTCAGTTTCTTGGTGCTTTGGTGACTGGAACATCAGAATTTTGATTATGGTGTGATTGTAGTATGGAGCCTGGGCCCGCCCCGAATCTGTCAATCAAATTGATATGGCCCTCGAAACTGGGAAAGAGACACTCACTTACTACGAGGATTTCTTCGGGATTGGATTTCCATTGCCTAAACAAGGTACATTGTTAGAGGCTGACATCTTATTTTCAAAATGTTGTCATCGTGAAACTACATTATAACAAATATGTTGTGAAGTCTTTATATAAACATGTTTATCTTGATTAAAACAATTTTCTACATAGAAATTCAGAAATTTTCTTTCGTAGATCATCTTGTGCTAATGACTTTCATGTCATATTGTGTCATAATGTTGTACAAAAATATGTTTTCATAATTATTGTTATTATGTTAACATATTTATCATAAGTTGAACAATTATTTCAAAACCAGGAAGTGTGACCTCTTCATTGTATGAATATAATTTTTCATTTTTTCATCAAAATAACACAAAAAAACAAAAAAAAACAAAAGAAATTTGTTCCTGAATTCAGAGAACAGACGATAGAACAGAGGTAGATGATCAAACGACTATCTATTAGTTTTATTTTCACGATATATTTTTTTTGTGTAATTTTATTTCATCCTCAGAAGCAATCCCTTGACAATGACTTTTATAGTACACGTATATCACCATCGTCTGTTGTTAGATATGATTGCCATCCCCGACTTCTCGGCTGGCGCTATGGAGAACTGGGGACTGATTACCTACAGAGAGAATTCCATGTTGTACAAAGCAGGTGTATCATCTACATCTGACAAACAGTGGACGACGGAGACCATTACACACGAACTCGCACATCAGGTACATTCTAATGTAGATAGACCTTCATATGTAGCTTCTGATAAGGAACATCTGATTGTTATATCTTTAATCTTCAGATTTTATAACAAGAATTCGATTTTAACTTAGAGTTACTGTATAATTCTAACCTGTTACCATAGTTACGGTTTTATTCTAACCTGTTACCATAGTTACCGTTTTATTCTAACTTGTTATCATAGTTACTCTTTAATTCTGACCTGTTAACATAATTACAGTATAATTCTAACCTGTAACTATAATTACAGTATAATTCTAACCTGTTTACATAATTACAGTATAATTCTGACCTGTTTACATAATTACAGTACAATTCTGAACTGTTAACACAATTACAGTATAATTCTGACCTGTTTACATACTTACTGTATAATTCTGACCTGTTGACATAATTACAGTATAATTCTGACCTGTTTACATACTGTATAATTCTGACCTGTTCACATAATTACAGTACAATTCTGAACTGTTAACATAATTACAGTATAATTCTGACCTGTTTACATACTTACTGTATAATTCTGACCTGTTCACATACTTACTGTATAATTCTGACCTGTTCACATACTTACTGTATAATTCTGACCTGTTGACATAATTACAGTATAATTCTGACCTGTTGACATAATTACAGTATAATTCTGACCTGTTGACATAATTACTGTATAATTCTGACCTGTTAACATACTTACTGTATGATTCTGACCTGTTGACATAATTACTGTATAATTCTGACCTGTTGACATAATTACAGTATAATTCTGACCTGTTGACATAATTACAGTATAATTCTGACCTGTTTACATACTTACTGTATAATTCTGACCTGTTTACATAATTACAGTATAATTCTGACCTGTTCACATAATTACTGTATAATTCTGACCTGTTCACATACTTACTGTATAATTCTGACCTGTTGACATAATTACTGTATAATTCTGACCTGTTGACATAATTACAGTATAATTCTGACCTGTTGACATACTTACAGTATAATTCTGACCTGTTGACATAATTACAGTATAATTCTGACCTGTTGACATAATTACTGTATAATTCTGACCTGTTAACATAATTACTGTATAATTCTGACCTGTTGACATAATTACTGTATAATTCTGACCTGTTGACATAATTACTGTATAATTCTGACCTGTTAACATAATTACTGTATAATTCTGACCTGTTGACATAATTACTGTATAATTCTGACCTTTAACTATAGTTACTGCTAAATTCTAGCCTGTTATTGTAGTTACAGTATAATTCTAATCTGTTACTATAGTTACTGTATAAATCTGTTACTTTTGTTACTATTACAGTGGTTTGGTGATCTTGTGACGATGAATTGGTGGGACGACCTTTGGCTGAACGAGGGATTTGCCACGTTTGTCCAACACTTGGGAGCTGATCATATGCATCCTGATTGGAAAATGGTGAAAACGTTAACCATCTTCAAATCAAGACCAGCGTTCCAAAATTATGTTGAATCAAGAAATTAACTCTGAATGATAAATACTAGAAGTAATGCATGTGCAATCATATTTTCTTAGCTTTTAACATACATATTGACCTGTATCACATTTAATGACATTTCATATTGTATATCAAATACACAATTAAAGTGAACAGGTGTTTAAAATGAACAAAAATCTTCTTTTCTGAAAAAAATATTGTGCTAAAAAACGTTTCGTACTTGAAAATTATTATTATAGAAAATCACGCTTTTTCTGTTCGTAATTTTTGTCGTTTATTTAAACAAATTTTTTTTTTTTATTTGATGAATTCCTGGTTATAACTATTTTATCATTTTTTGTTGACAAAAATTTGATTTTTTTCTGTTATTTTTTTAGTTTGATCAATTTGTGGTGAAGGAGCTCCAGGATGCCATGGAATTTGATGGTTTGATATCCTCCCACCCAATGTACGCTCCTGTACAGAATCCAGCTCAGATCAATGAAATTTTCGATAAAATTTCGTACTCTAAGGTAATAATTACTGCATTCTTTTATCTTACGAGAATTGTTGCTTGGTTTTCTCAGTCAGACCTCGTTCTTAAAAGTTGAAATGTCACACAATGTATTTCCTATGAAGAAATATCTCTCGTCAGAAAATAGAGGCAAAAGTGTAGAGATTATATACTACTGATGAAGACAATACTGACATATTAGTAAAGGATGGTTCTGTATGGTAACACATTCATCTTTAACAGAAAACAAAGGGGTTTATTTCTCAGATTAAACATGACAAGGTGTTGAGTCACATACCTTACCATGTGGGGTTTTCCAAGTATTTTGGGATCCTTCCACAGTAAGACCCTCACAGGCTTCGATCAAGGCTAACAAGGAAGTAGATTAATTTTAGCTGTTGTTGCCAAATCATCAATTTTCATGGTGGTTTTATTTTTTATGCACTATTAATCAACAAACAATGAAGTCCACATACTATAAACGTCGGGAGTAGGCACAACACGAAGCAGTTCTGATCCAATCCACGATTTATTCGTGCTAAGAGTTGTTTACACGTTTCGGATCCAAGCGATCCGTCATCAAAAGTCCACATACTGTTAGAATTAGCAGATTTATTTATCTCTATTTACCCTCAAAATCAAATGACCTGGAAACAGTAAATTTTTGCAAAACCACGAAAATTAAGTCCAACAGGAATTTACGATTTTACAGTAGCCTGTGTCACAATTTTTGTAGAGTTATTAAAGTTTGTTGTTTATTTAACGAAACAAAGTTTTACATCTTAATGAATGAAGCAATTATAAGTGATATGAACTGACAAAATGAACTGATGGAAACTTATAAAATTTGAGAATAACTGGAGGTATTCTGGTAGTATTTTATGCAGTTATAAATTTATGTATCCATGGTGATGTTATGTTGATTACTTTCCTTTTACAAAAAGAAACTAATGTTATTTTAAGATTATCAGCTTCAGGAATAACCCTAAGACAATGTGAAGAACACATTTTGTAGTCAGATTAAGGCAATGACACAAAATACTACCATTGGAGATTTTCTAATCTTCTTTTCATGCTCCCTGAAAATTTTGGGGAAGGATGGGAGGGGGGCATATAGTTGCCACCATTTCTACCTATTCGTCTTCCCGTTCTTCCATCTTTCTGTCCATCCTTTCTGTCCGCAGAATAACTTTGTCCACAGTTAAGCAAGGATCAAGAAACTTAGTGTATACATTGATCATACTAAGACAATGTGCTGTGTACTAAATTCAGGGCCCTCAACCCTGTGTTATTGCAGAGTTATTGCCCTTTGTTAAAAATATCTTGTCCAGAGCATAACTTTGCTTGCATTTAACCTAGGATAACAGAACTTGGTGAATACGTTGATGATGAGAGGATAATGTGCAGTGTACAAAGGTCAGGACAGGCAACCCCTTAATTACATACATTGTAGTTATGGCCTTTTTATGAAAAATTTGTGTCTGGTGCATAAAATTGCCTGCATTTAAATGAACTAGAATATTGAAACATGCCATATATACATCACTTATACAAAAAAGCAAGGTGCAGAAAAGTTATGTAAAGGCCCATGACTCTACAATTACAGAGTTATTGCCCTTTGTAATAATTGTGTATCCATGGCACGACTTTATAATTAATAATAAATAATTAATCTTGTATAATTATGGATACATTGATCATATGGATTTTGAGTGTGAATATAACTTTTTACATTTAAACTGTGATGTATACATCAGTCATACAAAAGTAAGGTGCAGTGGAGCAAAGTCAGGGCCCTTAACTCCTCAGTAACAAAATGATTGTTCTTTATCAAAATTTTGTATCATGAGCGTAGCTTTGCTTGCATTGAAACAAGGATCAAGGAACTTAATATACATAGGTCATACTAAGAAAATGTGCAGTATACCAAATTCAGGGCCTGCAACCCCTTTATTAGTCCCCTGCCGGTGAAACCGCAGAGAACTATAGTGTTTCTCTGTCTGTCAGGTGATAACTTCAGAAAAAATGGATGGATTTAAATGAGACTTCATACAATGTTAGCTTAAGAGGTAATACAGGATGAAATTGAGTTTGGGGTCAAAAGGTCAACTATAAAGATCTGTTTATATTGTAGGGAGCAGGCATTATTTGTATGACGAGGTATATATAAGATCTGTTTATATTGCAGGGAGCAGGCATTATTTGTATGACGAGGTATATATAAGATCTGTTTATATTGCAGGGAGCAGGCATTATTTGTATGACGAGGTATATATAAGATCTGTTTATATTGCAGGGAGCAGGCATTATTTGTATGACGAGGTATATATAAGATCTGTTTATATTGCAGGGAGCAGGCATTATTTGTATGACGAGGTATATATAAGATCTGTTTATATTGCAGGGAGCAGGCATTATTTGTATGACAAGGTATATATAAGTTCTGTTTATATTGCAGGGAGCAGGCATTATTTGTATGACGAGGTATATATAAGATCTGTTTATATTGTAGGGAGCCAGCATTATTCGTATGATGAGGTTTTTCATCGGAGAAGAAACATTTAAGAAAGGAATTAAGGTGAGAATATTGACAAAATCAGAGAATAATGAGGAGTTATCCAAAATGGTCGCTGTTATATGTACTTCATTAGCTTATTTACCCTAACAGGTGCTTAAGCTTGTTTAGACTTTGAATAAAAAACAAGTTTGTGTGACCTGATTCTACCACATAAAAGCAAGCCTCCCAAGGATGAATGGACCTGTTCTATACCTAGGTGTGTTTTGTAGCGTACTCATGTGACATGTAATGAAATGTCACTAGTGGTATGCAAAACTGACAATTTCAGAAATATGTAAAAATATTATAATCTTTTATAAATTGTGATGTGTAATTAACAGATTCTGTATGTTTGAAGTTAGAAATTGTTAAAAATCCACATAAAAAAAATTATTACAAAACACAATATTTAACTACTTTTTGTGTATTTTATCTTCTGTGAGTGCGTACTGATGTGCCTCTCCGGTCAAAGTTCACCATTTTAGCCAATCAGTAACCTTTATCAGATTACTTCCAGGTGTAATATAATTATATGTTATGATTAATTGTGGTAAAAACAATAATTAATAACCTTTTAACATAATATACAACAGGTAAGTAGAGATGTGATAAGTAATACTGCATAGTTTTAGGTCTCAAGTGACCTGCTGTGATCGCTTTTTGTCTAGAGTCGTGTATCGTAATTAATTCACATTTTTGACTTCCTTTCCATAACCAAAAGGCCCAGAGTGCTGATATTTGGCCTGTAGTATGCTGGGATGATGGGCTACCAAATTTGTGCTTTTTTGTTGGCACTTGATTTTGTCAACAAATTTTTTGGAAATTCACAAGTACTGTAATTCACATAAATTTTTATGTTTGTCGTTTCATTAAAAATAATTACAAATCAACGAAAAAATAAAACCCTGGAGTAAATTTATGATTTTACTGTGTATTTCTGTCTTCCATGCAATGTTCAGCCATTTTGTAGATTTTTCCTGCAGATTATCTCCCCTTTATGTAAATCCTAAACTCATGTATATTTCATATACTTAACTTTCTATAGCATTACCTGGAAAAAGCGTCATACAGTAATGCTGTCCATGATGACCTGTGGTATGCTATGGGAAATGTGAGTATTATATTAATACTGAATACTACATAGATGACCTGTGGTACGCTATGGGAAATGTGAGTATCATATTAATACTGAATACTACATAGATGACCTGTGGTACGCTATGGGAAATGTGAGTATCATAGTAATACTGAATACTACATAGATGACCTGTGGTATGCTATGGGAAATGTGAGTATCATACTAATACTGAATACTACATAGATGACCTGTGGTACGCTATGGGAAATGTGAGTATCATATTAATACTGAATACTACATAGATGACCTGTGGTACGCTATGGGAAATGTGAGTATCATATTAATACTGAATACTACATAGATGACCTGTGGTACGCTATGGGAAATGTGAGTATTATATATATACTGAATACTATACAGTTGGTAGGTTTTCATGGAACTCTCATTATTTGGGCCAGGAAGTAAGGGCGGGGAGTGGGGTTGGTGGCAATGACATTTTTGCGTGTAAACGAAAATGTCTTCCATCGTAAGAGTGTAGAGTCTTAACAAACCTGATATTAAATGTCATGTATGAATAATATTGATCACATTAAATTAACCGAGAGATTTTCAATTCAACAATAAAGTGGAGATTTTATGATGATTTTCCCCAGGGTTGATATATAAAGCTGAACTTTGTATATAAATATTTTCCTGTATCATTCTCAATTGATTATTGGAAATATAATTACTATTTTTAGGCCACCATCATCAGATTGTGGGTTCAAATTGTCATCAACCAGTACTTGTTATTGCTGTTTCTTGAGAAGCATTTGATGGATCTTTCTCAAATTTTATATGTATCTGTTTCTCATGATTCTTGGTTCTGACTGATCAAATCTTGGATTTTGACTATGGAAGTTTGTTATTGCTTTTAATTAGCATAAGAAGTATTGAATAGATCTTTCTCATATCTCATATGTTGGTTACCCATAATCCTTAGTTTGTCATTTTAACTTTGGGTGTGATCAGGAAGACAAAATAGCTGAAAGACAACCATCTTTTACTTAACAATTGAAATATTATTATCGCAGTTTGAGCTAAAGCAAAGGACAGAGAGAAAAGAAGAGAAAATATGCAGCTTTCCAATATCGAATAAATACCAGTTAATGACGGATTCCAAAATTTATCTGGGTTTTTTGTTTTACATTTATATCAATCTCTTTATTTGGCAATATGCCGTTTTAACGCATACAATTTTATTTGCATGAATCACAGTTTCTGAAATTTTATCAAATTGCAGAATTCATTAAGCTGCCAAATTCTGATTAAAAAAATCTCAGAAATATTTTTCTTGTTTATGAGTTTTCAAAAGTTTTAGATGAGATGTTTGGGCTTAGAAGTTGGAAAAGAGATTACAAGGTTGAATTAGATCAGGTTAATTTGATGTGATGACTTTTGCAGCAAACGAAGGAAGATAAACATTCCAAGGACGTAAAGGCTATCATGGACACCTGGACATTACAAATGAATTTCCCTGTGGTTAGTCTGACACGCAAAGAAAAAGGAACATTCAAGGTTACACAAAAGCGATATCTACGCAACCCAGACGCAAAAGATCCGGGTCGATTTTCATCGAAATATGGGTATTTATTATTCATTTTGAGATATTTAGGGGTGATACAACAGCTCACAGCCTCAGATGATGGTTTGTATTTCTCTGGAGTCGAGATGGGACTGGTTGGTGGTGTGGTGGTAATGTGTCCTTGGGCAAGACACTTTACCCCCAGTTGCTTGCTCTCAATGTCTCAACGATGGGTCTCCTGTATGTTGTTCAGTGCGGTAGCCTCTAATTAATACATGGAGACCCTGCTTCAAAATGACCCAGGCTATTTACACTGTGATAATAAAAAACAAGAAAGAAATACCAGCTGGTTTGTTACTACTTAACAATTGTCAGTTTACCTAGTTCACACCTTTCTAGGTTTCATTAATTTGAGCTTTGAAGTGTGGTTTTGTTAACATGTCAGTAATTATTCATTCTTTGTTAATAGGTACACATGGATAATACCTCTAACCTTCACAACCAGCAAAAACCCGAACTTCAAACAAACCTATCAAAATGTGACATTGTTTGGAGGAAAAGAACAAGGTAAGAGATTCTATTCATCACACTCTTTCTGGATCATTAGCCCATCCTTTACTAAATATGACATTGTGAGGAGAAAAAGAACAAGGTATGAGATTCTATTCATCACACTCTTTCTAGATCATTAGCCCATCCTTTACTAAATATGACATTGTGAGGAGAAAAAGAACAAGGTATGAGATTCTATTCATCACACTCTTTCTAGATCACTAGGACATCCTTTACTAAATGTGACATTGTGAGGAGAAAAAGAACAAGGTATGAGATTCTATTCATCACACTCTTTCTGGATCATTAGCCCATCTTTTACTAAATGTGACATTGTTTGATAAAAAGAACAAGGTAAGAGATTCTATTCATCACACTCTTTCTGGATCATTAGCCCATCTTTTACTAAATATGACATTGTGAGGAGAAAAAGAACAAGGTATGAGATTCTATTCATCACACTCTTTCTAGATCACTTGGACATCCTTTACTAAACGTGACATTGTTTGATAAAAAGAACAAGGTATGAGATTCTATTCATCATTACTCTTTCTAGATCACTCGGACATCCTTTACTAAACGTGACATTGTTTGATAAAAAGAACAAGGTATGAGATTCTATTCATCACACTCTTTCTGGATCATTAGCCCATCTTTTACTAAATATGACATTGTGAGGAGAAAAAGAACAAGGTATGAGATTCTATTCATCATTACTCTTTCTAGATCATTACCTCGCCGTTTACCATTATTCTTGGACCATAGAGCACACATTAACTCATTTTGGCTGGGTAAAACTTGAAAAGGACAAGTGGAATTATAGTCACACATGTCCTAAATTGCTGTCTGGTGGTATAATATTATGTTTCATTTTAACAGAGGTGTCCATAGACTCCACACTTCCAGAAGATGGCTGGATTCTTGCTAACGTGATGCAGTATGGTTACTACAGAGTAAATTACGACCACCAGAATTGGAAATCTCTTATCCAACAACTAAAGAACGATCATTTGGTTTGTACCTAAAATTGATACATTCTCCTTCTATGTGAAGTACTGTAAACCTGCTTTCTTTTGCAGCTACCAACTTTCACAAAATTGTCTCAGTTGTGAAATGCTCTCAAGTATTTAATGTTAGAGGATATTTGATGGGGGGAAGGTGGGGGAAGGGGGGGGGGGTCATCCTGATGGTGTATGAGTTAAACAATGTCCTTAGTATTACAGTTTAATTCATTGGTTGGCTCTACAGTATCTAATTTGTATTAACTTGGGCCATTCACTTGTGTGTTTTAGTACCATTCATGGAAACATAAATACTGGTTTGAACTTTGATGTGGTCACAGTATCTCAGTCAGTTAGAGCTTAGGCTTAAGTAACCTCAGGTGAAAATCTAAGGTGTGTGGTTCAATGCTCCCAGCCTATAGCAGTTTATGTTTATCAGGAGACTGACTGGTCTGTGCTGATGTGGTTGTGTCGTAGCTCAGACACTTTATCTTAATTGATCTGGATAGATGGACCTCCTATATGCTGTTCAGTGAGGTTCTGGACAGGATGGGCGGAACCTCCTATATGTTGTTCAGTGAGGTTCTGGACAGGATGGGTGGGACCTCCCATATGCTGTTCAGTGAGGTAGCCAACTGCTACTTCAGGGAGACTGCCTCAACATGACCCTGACTGTTCAGGGGTGATAAACCCAGCAAACTTAAGTCTTCTGCAGACATGTTATATTTGTATTCAGTAAATATGTATATTATAAGACAAGGTTTCTGTCATTGTCATTATTTTCCAAGGTTTCTATTTGTCACTATCTTCAAGAATGGATTAAAGCAGTGAAAAATAGAAATATTGACAAAGAAAATATTTAAAGAAAACATTTTCTTACTTTTGGTAAAAATATTTCCCTTTTGTGTCAGTTTTTCAAGAAATTTACAAAAAATTTAAACATTGTAGAGAGCTTTGCAATATATACAGCATCAGGTATATATGTTATGTTAAATACAGAAACAGATCAAGAATATTTCTATACTGTTTTCCTTTTCCTCCGTCATCCAACAGGTTACAAACATTTAAATATGTCAAACGTGTTGTCTTTTCCAGGTTATTCATCTCGTGAACAGAGCTCAAATTATCAATGATGCATGGGCACTTGCCAAGTACGTACTTAGCTTATTCTAGTTTACAAAAAAACTGCACATTCACACTCGTAAAATTATTATGAAGAAATATCTGTTCAAATAATTTTCTAAAAAGCTGTACCTTAATTCACTCAAAATATGATTCTTAAGAAAACTTTTTCCAGATAATTATTAAAAAAGATTTTTTCAATGTGATTGACTGGTGTCTTAAAATACATCAATGCGTAGAATTTCACATTATTTTATATCAATAACTTTTTATTGACAAGATTTTTTTAAAAGTCAATAATGACTAAATAACTGAATTTTCAAAAACGAGGCTCAAGAGGATTTTATTGTATGGAGGCTTTCATTTCAGAAATATCATATGACATGGAAGGAATATAAGATTCTGTTTATCATGTAACTTAAATACTGGTACTTTGCAACATTTGTGACCAAAGTGTTTTATTTGACTGACACAGAATCTGGATTGATGATACTCTCATTCTTGCTTTCTACTCCACAGATCGGGAGATCTATAGATCTATAGATCTGACAATACCCTCATTCTTGTTTTCTGCTCCACATATCTGGAGATCTTTAGATCTGACAATACTCTCATTCTTGTTTTCACTGCTCCATAGATCTGGAGATCTATAGATCTGACAATACCCTCATTCTTGTTTTCTGCTCCACAGATCTGGAGATCTTTAGATCTGACAATACTCTCATTCTTGTTTTCACTGCTCCATAGATCTGGAGATCTATAGATCTGACAATACCCTCATTCTTATTTTCTGCTCCACAGATCTGGAGATCTTTAGATCTGACAATACTCTCATTCTTGTTTTCACTGCTCCACAGATCTGGAGATCTATAGATCTGACAATATTCTCACTCTTGTTTTCTGTTCCACAGATCTGGAGATCTATGGATCTGACAATACTCTCATTCTTGTTTTCACTGCTCCACAGATCTGGAGATCTATAGATCTGACAATATTCTCATTCTTGTTTTCTGCTCCACAGATCTGGAGATCTATAGATCTGACAATATTCTCACTCTTGTTTTCTGCTCCACTGATCTGGAGATCTATAGATCTGACAATATCCTCATTCTTGTTTTCACTGCTCCACAGATCTGGAGATCTATAGATCTGACAATATTCTCATTCTTGTTTTCTGCTCCACAGATCTGGAGATCTATAGATCTGACAATATTCTCACTCTTGTTTTCTGCTCCACAGATCTGGAGATCTATAGATCTGACAATATTCTCATTCTTGTTTTCTGCTCCACAGATCTGGAGATCTATAGATCTGACAATATCCTCATTCTTGTTTTCACTGCTCCACAGATCTGGAGATCTATAGATCTGACATTATTCTCACTCTTGTTTTCTGCTCCACAGATCTGGAGATCTAGATCTGACAATTGCTCTTGACACCATGGAGTACCTTGGTAATGAACTGGATTATGTCCCTTGGTCGGCAGCTACCAGTGAACTCTCTTATGTGGAAACAATGTTGGTGCGAACTCCATTGTACGGTAAATTTAAGGTAATTTATGATTTTCCTAAATATAAATATATGTTAAAACAGCTAGGCTGCATTTGATCATTTTGATTACAAGGTTACCATGGTTACTGGTGTCTAAAGTCTGATTTTTGAAATTCTGACATTAGACATTATCTATCATATCTACCTGACCATTCCTGGTTTATACACAATACTTACAACATCATGTATGATAGGATCATTCTGACTGTTCCTAGGGTAACTTATAGTTGGAGTTGATAATCCTCCCAATCTCTGTTGTAATATTTTTTACCGATCAAACTTTTTCTTTCGTTTCCACAGTTTCACTCTTGGCATCAACAAAGAATCCTTTGAAAGATAAAAACTTGTATTCTGTATCTTTCCTTAAAGTTGGCACCCTACTTTATGACTTAATTCACATTTAATTGGTATCAATTGCCCTGAATTTAGGTGACACAGATAAATTAAGCTGTATGTAGAACAGTTAACGGTTTCTACTGTTCACCTGCTAAGACAAAAATGGTCAGATTTCTTACTGCATATTTGGTCATTTTAACACGCAATTTTTATATCTTTAGTAACTTTTAAATTTTTTAACAAAATATTTTTTTCTGTCACAGAAATTTATGCACAGGATCATAGAGAAGCCATACAGGACACTGGGAATGGACAACACAAACACAAGTCACATGGAAAGGTAAGACTAAATACATGATCAACTGGGAATGGACAACACAAACATGGAGAGGTAAGACTAAATACCTGATCAACTGGGAATGGACAACACAAACACAAGTCACATGGAGAGGTAAGACTAGATACCTGATCAACTGGGAATGGACAACACAAACACAAGTCACATGGAGAGGTAAGACTAGATACCTGATCAACTGGGAATGGACAACACAAACACAAGTCACATGGAGAGGTAAGACTAAATACCTGATCAACTGGGAATGGACAACACAAACACAAGTCACATGGAGAGGTAAGACTAGATACCTGATCAACTGGGAATGGACAACACAAACACAAGTCACATGGAGAGGTAAGACTAGATACCTGATCAACTGGGAATGGACAACACAAACACAAGTCACATGGAGAGGTAAGACTAAATACCTGATCAACTGGGAATGGACAACACAAACATGGAGAGGTAAGACTAAATACCTGATCAACTGGGAATGGACAACACAAACACAAGTCACATGGAGAGGTAAGACTAAATACCTGATCAACTGGGAATGGACAACACAAACACAAGTCACATGGAGAGGTAAGACTAGATACCTGATCAACTGGGAATGGACAACACAAACATGGAGAGGTAAGACTAGATACCTGATCAACTGGGAATGGACAACACAAACATGGAGAGGTAAGACTAAATACCTGATCAACTGGGAATGGACAACACAAACACAAGTCACATGGAGAGGTAAGACTAGATACCTGATCAACTGGGAATGGACAACACAAACATGGAGAGGTAAGACAAACACAACTGGGAATCACATGGAGATGTAAGACTAAATACTGGAGAAATTAGGATGCAGAAATTCACCCAAATGTATGAATTTGTGATATATTACATATATACCAAAATATACATTAGATATATTATAAATACAGGTGTGTGATTGTGTGATGATCTTTAAATAATACAGTAAACACCACATATTAGACATCAAAGGACCATTAAATTTCCATGTTGTTTCAAGAGTGTGATTACCTACCTGTCTTTTTTTTTTTTTTTTTTTGAGCTTAACGTCCTTGTTCCGGTTATAACCGAGCCTAGGACACTACCTGTCTGTATGACACCTCCTTATTTATAGGTAAAATTAATTGGATTACAATACATACCCAGAGACTTAAAAAAATCATTTTGTAAGACACCACAGGTAATCACATTGTATCAGAGACAAAAATGCAAAGAGGGTAGGGGGTTTTGTTGTCATCTCATTACACCTGATACTTCATAATAAACAATGTCATTATATTTGGTCTTCACTGTTTACAGTTTTGTATATATGATATATATATTTTATATATCTATCCAAGTATATATCATTGTTATGTACATCATTTTCCCTAACAGCAAGGCAAGGGCTATCATTGTATCATTAGCCTGTGGAAATGAGGTGACTGACTGCCAAGAAGGGGCGAGTAGAAGGTTTCAGGACTGGATGGACAGACCAGATATTAACATGTAAGAAAACACCGATATTATCCATATTTATACAAAAGCTCGGGTAAGGTAAAATTGTATTGTAAAACTTATCTCTTTGCACTACACAGTCAATAACAGGTACCAGACTCCCACTGTAAACTTTGGCAATCTTAGGGGCTACTCTGTATGTTTATTTCTAGAGACATTTAAAATGACTGAAAATTCCTGGTAGACATACACACTGGGTGAGCCCAGCATGTTGTGGCTGTGTACCTGTGGACAGGTGAGGCTGACAGGTATATGCCACTTAAATAAAATGTCAGATAAACCACCAGGCCCCACTTGTATAAAACATCTCAACTTGAGATTTCCTCAAGTCGAGATTTTCCTCTGCTGATATCTCCTCAAAAACGGCTTGTATAAAATTTTCTCAAGGAACAGGAGGAAGGCATCGGCTAGGATGTCCTGAAATTCCTTGAGGAATTTTCATACAAGATATTTTCAAGGAGATATTAGCTGAGGAAAATCTGGGCTTGAGGAAATCTGAAATTGAGATATTTTATACAAGTGGGGCCAGGTTAATATTGAATACTGAATACATTAAGTAAATTGAGATTTGTAACTGTAATAACTATATCTGAATTGGGGTAAAAATTCAAAAATGTTGAATTGATAAGGCAAACGATTGGAATAGAAACCATTGTGACTCTCTGGATGGACCGAGCAGATATAAACATTTAAGAATACAAAGATATTATCCACAGATAAAACAGATAATTAATCAGATGTACTGTAGGTAAGGGTATATATATCACTCAAACACATAAAAGTAACCAATATCTAATTATTATGTAATTAAATATGTACATATATATATATATATTGTAATGTTACATAATTATTATGTAATATTATGTAACATTAAAAGATATATACCTGTGGACAACACAGTCTTCAAATAATGAAATACTGGGCCCGTATTCATGAAACCATTCTCATGCTCAAGCATAGATTTTGTGCTCAAGCAAACTTTTTTATAATTCACCTAAATGATATGAAATTATACAAATGCCAAATTTAAACCTGAAATATAACTTTGACTTGAAGTCATTTAGAAATTGTTTTTAAATCTTAGGCAAAATCAGCCTTATTTATTAATTTTTAACTTAAACAAGACAGAAGGCTTGAGCACAGAATTCATGCTTGAGCATGACAACGGTTTTATGATTATGGGCCCTAAGTAGGGGTGATATCAATCTCTCCAGCCAGGGTACAGTTCTATCTATTACCTGGTCAAAAACCATTCAGTTTAAGAAGAGAAGTGTTCTTACCCCTCCTATGCATGCCAGGGTCACCCTTCTGCCCTACACAGGCCTTGACCTTGACCTTGGCCTAGCAGGCAGACCCACAGGGCCTGGCCTTATTACCGGTCAGGGAGTACAATCATCCCCCTTACATATGAATCTTTCCTCTCACAGTTTCATAATATCCTCCAAGAATGTGACCATGACCCAGCTAGGTACTCAAGCCATAACATTTACAAGGGTGGGGCATCTTTTGCTTAAGAATATGTCTTTTAGGTGTTTCCCAGGTTCAAACTAGTCATTTTCTGAGATAAACAAATTGGACTTATGAAAAAAAGAGAAAAAGACTACCATGCATGCTGCCCAAAAAGTTATATGGCTGGATAAGGTCAGACAAATTTTGGAGAAAATTTTTTCCAAGATGCCAAGGGTGATTGGGAGTTTTGGTTTGCGAACATCACCCGTTGTTCTACATGCTCCTTTCTATGTAGCACTGACATAAAAGGAGTCAAGAGGACTGGGGTAATCCAGTTCCTGGCGCAAAACCTTGATAACATATTGTCTTAATGATGAAAAGGAAAGTTGATCGGACAAATTAGCGATAAAGCGTCCCGGATTAGATTGTGATAAAGGGACTAGCAGAATCTCTACAAGTATACAAAACCTTTGTATGAAGACAGATATGTACTGTAGGTCTACTGAGTAGACTTGGCAAAAGTGTTTGCCCGTAATACATCTACGGTAGTATCTAGGTTCTTGATTATGGTGGATTTCGATGAAGGACCCTGGCCACCTGTTCACGACATAGAAAGAGGAAAGCACTGACATGTGATCAAGACGGTTGGGACTGGTCTACCAAATCTAATACAAAATGTTACAAATGAGCTGATTGGTGAAGCTGAGACACTGTGTCTACCATGCCTTTGTTGATACCTTCAATGTGTCTAGCAACTATATGGAAATGGAACAAAACAGACCACCAGTACATATATAATAACCCCAAAAGTTTTGGGTTTTTTGAAGTGCCCTTATCTAAACAGGCTACTGTGGTCGTGTTATCACTAAAGACATATATTTTGATGTTGGTCCAACAAGGTCCTCAGTGATAAGATGCAACAATTACTGCAAGAAACTCTGCTTCATTGATATGCCAACACACGGCCTGGGGGAATGCTGATCAAGTGTCATCAGTCAATGATGAGAGGAGGTAATGAAATACAACCACAACACACCTCGGCAGTTTCTGTATTTCATTCGCTACATTTTTACAGTTGACCGGTTTTGCATAACAGGTGATGTTTCATCAGGGGTTCAAATAGCAAATGAAATACAGAAACTGCTGAGGTGTGTTGTGGTTGTATTTCATTACTTCCACTTGTCGTCTATACAACAGCCTTGCATACCTAGAGGTATCCACACCCACAGCAAGGGACGTTAGCTGAAACTTCATTGCACCTCCGCATTGGTTCCAACCTCAGTCAATGATAAGTTGTAAATGAAGAACTACTAGAACTGATAATCATTCCTCATATGTTGTATGTGCATCATTGTAGAATTATAGGAGGGAACTTTTACTGATGTATCTGTTGACATCACGTTTGGTCTTTTGTTGAGCGTTTCCTCCTATGAGGAAGGTTTTGAGTTCTGTCACCTGGCCTGAGATGTACCAGAGTCTAGTGAGGAAGACTTTGGGTTCTGTCACCTGGCCTGAGATGTACCAGAGTCTAGTGAGGAAGACTTCAGTATTTTGGTGGTGTATCAACTGGGTTGTCTCTTGTAGTAAAATGTGACCTGGTGAGGTGACCTGCCATAGTCTTTGGCAGTATAGTTCAGTATGATAACACTATAAAGATGACTTCAGTACCGCACAAGGAGACTTCCATGGACATATCACAGACTCCCCAAAAAACACTCACCTGTCAACAGAAAGAATGAAACAGCAATGTACTGATGACTCTGTTGACGTTCATCCCCAGCAAACAAAGAAACTCATCTGACTTTAAAGCTTAGACGACAAATATTTTTTTGATTCAGTAAATTTTGTAAATACTGTTTCAGGATTGATCCTGATGTGAAGAGATCAGTACTATGTGGGGGTATCAGTGAAGGCGGGATGGACGAGTGGGACTTCCTGTACCAAAAGTATAAACAGTCCAATGTAGCCAACGAGAGGATAATGATGTTGTCTGCCTTGGGCTGTAGTCAACAGCCATGGATTCTGAGCAGGTAACAATATTGTTTTAATCATTGTTTACTGTAAAAGTCTAACTTTCATGAGGAATTTTTCGTTTTTTATTTTATGGGTATTATTAATTCAGGAACTCGTATGTCCATTGTTACTTCTATGTACTTCTATGGGTGGTGTATCTAAACAACACCTGGATTTCAATAGTAGGAAAGCTGTTTATATACTGAGACAGCTGTTAATATACTGTGAAAGCTGTTTATATACTGTTTATATACTGGGACAGCTGTTTATATACGGTGACAGCTGTTTATATACTGGGACAGATATTTATATACTGTTTATATACTGGGACTGCTGTTAATATACTGGGACAGCTGTTAATATACTGTGACAGCTGTTTATATACTGTTTATATACTGGGACAGCTGTTAATATACTGTGACAGCTGTTTATATACTGGGATAGCTGTTAATATACTGTGACAGCTGTTTATATACTGTTTATATACTGGGACTGCTGTTTATATACTGGGATAGTTGTTTACCTTGAGTCCTCGGCTAGGACAGCTGTTTATATACTGGGATAGCTGTTTATATACTGTAACAGCTGTTTATATACTGTTTATATACTGGGACAGCTGTTAATATACTGTGACAGCTGTTTATATACTGGGTTTATAGCTGTTATATATACTGTGTTTATATACAGCTGTTTATATACTGTTTATATACTGGGATAGTTGGACTGCTGTTTATATTATATACTAGGGCTGTTTATATAGATTGTTTACCTTGAGTCGGCTAGGACAGCTGCTAGGTTTATATACAGCTGTTTCTTGGATAGCCCTGTGTGGTATTGGTCTGGAGTTGTAACAGTCCTATTGCCTGGGTTGATATCTCTGATATTGATGATTATTTCAGATACCTGGCGATGTCGCTGGACCCTAATGAAGTACGAAAACAGGATGCTGATTACGTCATCAGATATGTCAGCGGAAATCCAATCGGAAGAGATTTAACATGGAATTTTATGCAAGAAAATTGGTCATTGTATCTTGAAAGGTATACCTATCTTGGTGATTCTATACAAATGGTAAAGTTTCGAAGATTTTAAAGACGTGTTCTATACAGTCATTCTTATATAACATGGACTGATCTTCACATGTCACCAATCCTATCAACTACACAAAGATGACTACAGTTCTTGTATTTATCTTATCAGAGAAAAACAATCTTATCTTTTTAAATAAGAACACAACACTGTTAGTTCTCTGTGTGTAATGATGTCAACATTTCTTCATTTGCTTTGTTTTTGTGTTTTGGAAAGATATGGAACTGGGACGTTTACCCTCAGCCGGATGATCGGTTCAGCACTAGAGTCCTTCAACACAGAACTGGAACTAGAACAGGTAATGATGGGGATTATCTATTGAGGAAGGGGCATGGGGAATGTTTATTGAGGAAGGGGCGTGGGGAATGTTTATTGAGGAAGGGGCGTGGGGAATGTTTATTGAGGAAGGGGCATGGGGAATGTTTATTGAGGAAGGGGCGTGGGGAATGTTTATTGAGGAAGGGGCGTGGGGAATGTTTATTGAGGAAGGGGCGTGTTTATTGTTTGTATACATTGTAAGATATTTGGATAGTCTCAGTGTTTATTGTTTGTATACATTGTAAGATATTTGGATATTCTCAGTGTTTACTGTTTGTGTACATTGTAAGATATTTGGATATTCTCAGTGTTTACTGTTTGTGTACATTGTAAGATATTTGGATATTCTCAGTGTTTACTGTTTGTGTACATTGTAAGATATTTGGATATTCTCAGTGTTTACTGTTTGTGTACATTGTAAGATATTTGGATATTCTCATTGTAAGATATTTGGGTGTTTACTGTTTGTGTACATTGTAAGATATTTGGATATTCTCAGTGTTTACTGTTTGTGTACATTGTAAGATATTTGGATATCCTCAGTGTTTACTGTTTGTGTACATTGTAAGATATTTGGATATTCTCAGTGTTTATTGTTGTGTACATTGTAAGATATTTGGATATCCTCAGTGTTTATTGTTGTGTACATTGTAAGATATTTGGATATTCTCAGTGTTGGATATTCTCAGTGTTTATTGTTGTGTACATTGTAAGGTATTTGGATAGTCTCAGTGTTTACTGTTTGTGTACATTGTAAGATATTTGGATATCCTCAGTGTTTACTGTTTGTGTACATTGTAAGATATTTGGATATTCTCAGTGTTTACTGTTTGTGTACATTGTAAGATGTTTGAATATTTCACGATGTTGTAGTTTTTTTCTTTACATCATTGAATACCAACAATCATCAAGAAATAAAAAGAAAAAAATTGATGAATCAGAAAGCTGCATAAAAAATTAATTATCAAAAGTTTATCTCAGGTATATAAATGAGATTTTTGAAAATTATGAAAAGTTTCATATATCTCAAATGAAGTGGAAATAAATGAAAGATTCTGTTTATCACAAAACAAATGTACATTTGTGAAAACAGTATCTAATGAAACTGGAGCAAAATTAAAGTGTATATTATTCTTGTTTGATATCATCCTGCGGTGATGTTAGAACAACGTCACGAGGAAGATTTAATTACACTATGGAAACCATGGTAACCTTCAGCCAATAAAAGCTTGGCTAGGTCATATTATGTGTGTGTCATAACAAACATTGATGCCATAAGTGTTACTACACTGATAGCAGGACAGCTATAATATAGATATATATTTGTAAAACAAATTGTTCCGTTTCAGATAAAAGCATTCCAGGCAGCTCACCCTGACATGGGATCTGGTACACGAGCTTATGAACAGGCAATAGAGAAGACTGAAGGCAATATACGCTGGATGAAACAGAATTACGCCACACTCCAATCATGGCTGGACAAAGCGGTTGGTTCAGAAACGAAGACTACTGTTGAGGATCTTAGACTGCCGCGGGCGATACTACCTTCTTTGTATGAATTAGAAATATTCCCCGATTTTTATCAACCAGATCCAAAAGATTTCACCTTCAATGGTACAGTCAAAATCTATATATCATGTGTAGAAATGACAAAGAATATCACACTGCATGTAAACAAACTCTCTGTGGACGAGAAAAGCTTAAAATTAGAAGCGATTTCTGGAGCAGCTGTCCCAGCAATTGTTAAAATAACAAAGGACGAAGCAAGGCAGTTTCTGATATTGGATCTAGACAGAGATCTAAGTCTAGACAACTACACACTCGAGATAAAGTTTACTGGGCCTTTGGTGGATGATATGGCTGGACTTTATTATAGTTCATATCAACAAGGCGGTGAAGATGTGTAAGTACAATCTGGTAGTTATGCAAACATTTAAAAAAAATTTAAAGATTACATTTTACTTAAAAACTCAAAATCTAGAAAAAAAACCAGAAATATTTATTTTATAATGTTAATAGATATGAGTTTAGACTATCGGTTGTATTATAGGATGTAGTTCTGACATAATCTGTGTTAATGATAGAAGTACTATAATCATTTTTATAACTAATAAGCCCAGTCTTAGTTCTACATTATACAATATGTATGTTGTTATGTGTTACCCTCTTTGTCACTGTAGATACATGGCTACGACACAGCTCGAATCCACGGATGCTAGAAAGATGTTTCCGTGTTTTGACGAACCAAACATGAAGGCACAATTCCAGATCACTGTCGTCAGGAAAGCTGATCTTATATCGTTATCTAACATGGAAATACAGACAACAGCACCGTGGTGAGTGTGAATATTTCATTTCCAAAACTTATCAGAATTTATTTCATTTTGATGCTGGTGTTTAATAATTTTATCATGAGCTGATGCTGTTATGGATAAAGGTCTAGAATTTGTTGTTACATCAATGTGATGAGGTCTAGAATTTGTTGTTACATCAATGTGATGAGGACTAGAATTTGTTGTTACATCAATGTAATGAGGTCTAGAATTTGTTGTTACATCAATGTAATGAGGTCTAGAATTTGTTGTTACATCAATGTGATGAGGTCTAGAATTTGTTGTTACATCAATGTGATGAGGCCTATAATTTGCTGTTACATCAATGTAATGAGGTCTAGAATTTGTTGTTACATCAATGTAATGAGGTCTAGAATTTGTTGTTACATCAATGTGATGAGGTCTAGAATTTGCTGTTACATCAATGTAATGAGGTCTATAATTTGTTGTTACATCAATGTGATGAGGTCTAGAATTTGTTCAATGTAATGGATAAAGATCTAGAATTTGTTGTTACATCAATGTGATGAGGTCTAGAATTTGTTGTTTCATCAATGTGATGAGGTCTAGAATTTGTTGTTACATCAATGTGATGAGGTCTAGAATTTGTTGTTACATCAATGTGATGAGGTCTATAATTTGTTGTTACATCAATGTAATGAGGTCTAGAATTTGTTGTTACATCAATGTGATGAGGTCTAGAATTTGTTGTTACATCAATGTAATTAGGTCTAGAATTTGTTATTACATCAATGTGATGAGGTCTAGAATTTGTTGTTACATGAATGTGATGAGGTCTAGAATTTGTTGTTACATGAATGTAATGAGGTCTATAATTTGTTGTTACATCAATGTGATGAGGTCTAGAATTTGTTGTTACATCAATGTAATGAGGTCTATAATTTGTTGTTACATCAATGTGATGAGGTCTAGAATTTGTTGTTACATCAATGTAATGAGGTCTAGAATTTGTTGTTACATCAATGTGATGAGGTCTAGAATTTGTTGTTACATCAATGTAATGAGGTCTAGAATTTGTTGTTACATGAATGTGATGAGGTCTAGAATTTGTTCAATGTAATGGATAAAGATCTAGAATTTGTTGTTACATCAATGTGATGAGGTCTAGAATTTGTTGTTACATGAATGTGATGAGGTCTAGAATTTGTTGTTTCATCAATGTGATGAGGACTAGAATTTGTTGTTACATCAATGTGATGAGGTCTAGAATTTGTTGTTACATGAATGTGATGAGGACTAGAATTTGTTGTTTCATCAATGTGATGAGGACTAGAATTTGTTGTTACATCAATGTAATGAGGTCTAGAATTTGTTGTTACATCAATGTAATGAGGTCTAGAATTTGTTGTTACATGAATGTAATGAGGTCTAGAATTTGTTGTTACATCAATGTGATGAGGTCTAGAATTTGTTGTTACATCAATGTGATGAGGCCTAGAATTTGTTGTTACATGAATGTGATGAGGTCTAGAATTTGTTGTTACATGAATGTGATGAGGTCTAGAATTTGTTGTTACATGAATGTGATGAGGTCTAGAATTTGTTGTTACATCAATGTAATGAGGTCTAGAATTTGTTGTTTCATCAATGTGATGAGGTCTAGAATTTGTTGTTTCATCAATGTAATGAGGTCTAGAATTTGTTGTTACATGAATGTAATGAGGTCTAGAATTTGTTGTTACATCAATGTGATGAGGTCTAGAATTTGTTGCTTCATCAATGTAATGAGGTCTAGAATTTGTTGTTACATGAATGTAATGAGGTCTAGAATTTGTTGTTTCATCAATGTGATGAGGTCTAGAATTTGTTGTTACATCAATGTAATGAGGTCTAGAATTTGTTGTTACATGAATGTAATGAGGTCTAGAATTTGTTGTTACATGAATGTGATGAGGTCTAGAATTTGTTGTTTCATCAATGTGATGAGGTCTAGAATTTGCTGTTACATCAATGTGATGAGGTCTAGAATTTGTTGTTTCATCAATGTGATGAGGTCTAGAATTTGTTGTTACATGAATGTAATGAGGTCTAGAATTTGTTGTTACATGAATGTGATGAGGTCTAGAATTTGTTGTTTCATCAATGTGATGAGGTCTAGAATTTGCTGTTACATCAATGTGATGAGGTCTAGAATTTGTTGTTTCATCAATGTGATGAGGTCTAGAATTTGTTGTTACATGAATGTGATGAGGTCTAGAATTTGTTGTTACATGAATGTGATGAGGTCTAGAATTTGTTGTTTCATCAATGTGATGAGGTCTAGAATTTGTTGTTACATGAATGTGATGAGGTCTAGAATTTGTTGTTACATGAATGTGATGAGGTCTAGAATTTGTTGTTACATGAATGTGATGAGGTCTAGAATTTGTTGTTACATGAATGTGATGAGGTCTAGAATTTGTTGTTTCATCAATGTGATGAGGTCTAGAATTTGTTGTTACATCAATGTGATGAGGTCTAGAATTTGTTGTTACATCAATGTGATGAGGTCTAGAATTTGTTGTTACATGAATGTGATGAGGTCTAGAATTTGTTGTTTCATCAATGTGATGAGGTCTAGAATTTGTTGTTACATCAATGTAATGAGGTCTAGAATTTGTTGTTTCATCAATGTGATGAGGTCTAGAATTTGTTGTTACATGAATGTGATGAGGTCTAGAATTTGTTGTTTCATCAATGGGATGAGGTCTAGAATTTGTTGTTACATCAATGTGATGAGGTCTAGAATTTGTTGTTACATCAATGTGATGAGGTCTAGAATTTGTTGTTACATCAATGTAATGAGGTCTAGAATTTGTTGTTACATCAATGTGATGAGGACTAGAATTTGTTGTTACATCAATGTGATGAGGACTAGAATTTGTTGTTACATCAATGTGATGAGGTCTAGAATTTGTTGTTACATGAATGTGATGAGGTCTAGAATTTGTTGTTACATGAATGTGATGAGGTCTAGAATTTGTTGTTACATCAATGTAATGAGGTCTAGAATTTGTTGTTTCATCAATGTGATGAGGTCTAGAATTTGTTGTTTCATCAATGTAATGAGGTCTAGAATTTGTTGTTACATGAATGTAATGAGGTCTAGAATTTGTTGTTTCATCAATGTGATGAGGTCTAGAATTTGTTGTTACATCAATGTGATGAGGTCTAGAATTTGTTGTTTCATCAATGTGATGAGGTCTAGAATTTGTTGTTACATCAATGTAATGAGGTCTAGAATTTGTTGTTACATGAATGTAATGAGGTCTAGAATTTGTTGTTTCATCAATGTGATGAGGTCTAGAATTTGTTGTTACATCAATGTGATGAGGTCTAGAATTTGTTGTTACATCAATGTAATGAGGTCTAGAATTTGTTGTTACATCAATGTGATGAGGTCTAGAATTTGTTGTTACATCAATGTAATGAGGTCTAGAATTTGTTGTTACATGAATGTAATGAGGTCTAGAATTTGTTGTTTCATCAATGTGATGAGGTCTAGAATTTGTTGTTACATCAATGTGATGAGGTCTAGAATTTGTTGTTACATCAATGTAATGAGGTCTAGAATTTGTTGTTACATCAATGTGATGAGGTCTAGAATTTGTTGTTACATCAATGTAATGAGGTCTAGAATTTGTTGTTATGACATTATAATTATGATGTTAAAACATGTTTTTTAGAATTTGGTCAATGTTTTGACTTTACTGTTGTGAAAGCTTTGAAGTCCATCATACCTCTCTGATCACACACAAAGATTAAACATTACAATGGCTGCTGTCTGTGATTGTGTGGTAATGGTGTTGTTATTTATCACATGCTTTGGAGAATGAGAAACAAGTTCTGCTATTTGTTTCTAGTCTATAATGTATCAGGGGTATAGTAATCAATTCTTAGTTGTATTCTAATCTTATTTCAGGCTGGACACTGGCTACTTGGCTGACCAGTACTTTGTATCACCCATCATGTCTACCTACCTTGTAGCCTTGGTTGTCTGTGATTTTGCTCATATCAATGGTACTACAAAGAATGGCATCTATGTAAGTACCATATATTATGATAAACCATGTATTTTGATAAACAATATTTATTATGATAAATAGTATTTAAGTATTATGATTAACAACATATACAATAATAAACCATATTCATACATTATGATAAACAATATTCATGTATTTTGATAAACAATATGTATTATGATAAGCAATATGTATTTTTGTAAGCAATATGTATTATGATAAACAATATGTATTATGATAAACAATATGTATTATGATAAACAATAAGTATTATGGTAAGCAATATGTATTATGATAAACAATATGTATTATGATAAGCAATATGTATTTTTGTAAGCAATATGTATTATGATAAACAATATGTATTATGATAAACAATATGTATTATGATAAACAATAAGTATTATGGTAAGCAATATGTATTATGATAAACAATATGTATTATGATAAGCAATATGTATTTTTGTAAGCAATATGTATTATGATAAACAATAAGTATTATGGTAAGCAATATGTATTATGATAAACAATATGTATTATGATAA